TGTCATCGATCCCATGGACGTTATACTGGGCATCACGCTGGAGGGTCTGCACGCTCAGCTCGTCGGCTCCAATCTCGATCCACGTGAGATCGAGAAGGCCAAGGCTGGCCAGAAGCAGGACTACCCACAGGGCATACCCGAGTGCGGCTCGGACGCCCTGCGCTTCGCCCTCTGCGCTTACATCACCCAAGCGCGCGACATCAATCTGGACATCAATCGTGTCCTGGGCTATCGCTTCTTTTGCAACAAACTGTGGAATGCCACAAAGTTTGCGCTGCTCTACTTCAGCGGGGAGGAGAAGTTCAGCACCGAACTGAGCTCCAGCGACGCTGTCAACCAGATGGATGCCTGGATCCTCTCCAGACTGGCTGCTGCCATTGAGGCCTGCAATGCGGGCTTCGAGTCGTATGATTTTGCCGCTGCCACCAGCGCCTGCTATGCCTTCTGGCTGTACGATTTGTGCGACGTTTATTTGGAGTGCCTGAAGCCAATCTTCCAGGCTGGCAGCGAGCAGCAGCAGACCGCCGCACGGCGCACACTCTACGTGTGCCTGGACTTTGGCCTGCGACTGCTCTCGCCTTTTATGCCCTTCATCACGGAGGAGCTCTACCAGCGCCTGCCGCGTGCCAATCCTGCGCCCAGCATTTGCGTTGCCAGCTATCCCAGTGAGTAGATGCCCGAACTGGCTTTTGGTTATGAGTTAAATGTTTTTATTCCTCGCAGGCAACACCTCCTGGCGCAGTGCCAAGATCGAATCGGATGTGGAGTTTGTCCAGAAAGCGGCTCGCATCATACGCTCCGCTCGTTCCGACTACAATCTGCCCAACAAGACGAAGACCGAGGCGTACATCGTCTGCACGGATGCCACACCCAATGAAATACTCAAACGCTATGCCAGCGACCTGGCCACCATTTCCTACTGCTCCAAGGTCTCCTTTGACAGCGCAGCGCCCGCTGGTTGTGCCATTCTCACCGTCACAGGGCAGTGCGAAGTGCACCTACTGCTGAAGGGCCTCGTGGAGGCGGACAAGGAGATTGCCAAGCTGCAGAAGAAGGGCGATCAGTTGGTGCAGACCGTCGGCAAGCTTACCCAGGCCATGCAGGCCTCCGACTACGCCAGCAAAGTGCCCGCCGAGGTGCAAACAGCCAACGAGACGAAGCTGACAGAGTCGCGAGCGGAGATTGAACGCATTACGGCAGCCATCGAGACGCTGAAGCTGATGTGAGGAAGATCCGAGCTTTAATGAGCATTTTGTTGATATTTGAGGGAAGTTCCTTCCTGCCCGTATACCTACTCCCCCGCTTGCTTCTCAGAGACTTCATTTTTGTGCTAAAATATTGTATTTATCCGTATCCGTACCATGCAAGCAACTTATATAAAATAATCCCGAAACAGACATAGAGAAAACTTGTGGCAGCTACCAGGTGAGCCTTGTGGCATGGTCCGTCTTGCGCTTGGACATCTTTATGTAGCCCAAAAACTGCAGCTCGGCCACAGCGCGCGTAAAGCGTGCCCTGCAAGAGAGAGAGGGAAGAATAAGAAAATTGTGAAATTTTTGAGGTTTCTGTGGACTCACTGTATCTGCGGATCGATTTGCTCTTGCGCCACCTCCCCAACTGGCTCCTCGTTGGCATGCAGCACCGAGCGGAAAGCCTGCAGCCAGTCAAACAGATTAATCATGCGCCCGCACTCCAGATGCAGTTTGTACACCACCGAGAGATCGGGCAGCGAACCCATAAGCTGCGTTTGTTCGCGCAGTTCGCAGCATTTGCATTGCATGTAAAAGTGAGGATTGTTGAGCGCGGTGTGCAGAGCGGCACGTGGGGCGCCAATGATGTTGCGGCGCACCGTGGAGATGTCGCTGAAGACGTAGAGTTCGTGCAGCGGTGGAGCGTCCTGCAGCGCACGCAAATGGCCGCGCACCAGCAGCGTTTCAATGTGCTCCAGCGTCTTGTGCACAGAGCGGGCGAACTCTGTGGTGGGCTGCTGCTGGTGCTGCTTGTCCGCTTGGGTGCGCTGCAGCAGCTGCGCCTTGAGCTCCTGCCGCGAGGCAACTTGCGTGAGACTCGCTGCAGGTCTGCTCTCATCCGTGGCCATGGCTGGCATCTGCTCTAGCGTGCCCATAACCACATCGTCGAGCAGCTGCCGAATGCTTTGCATCTGCGGTCGCAGCACGGACATGCAGGCCTCGCCCAGCTCCAGGGGGGCAATCTCCTCAGCCAGAAAGTGCTCGGTTCGGGCCAAACTTCGTTGGACTTTCGCCACAAATTCCTCTTTGGAGAGGAAGCTCAGCATTTGCCAGCACTCCTTGTACTCGGGCGAGGCGACAATCGGTTTGTTTAGGCAATTAACGTAGAGCTCGCGCAGCAGCTTGCCCAGCGGACAGCTCGGCAGATCGCCCACCAGCTCCGTGAAGAACTCCAGCGTGCTGCGAAAGAGCAGAAAGTGCAGCAGACAATCGCGCAGCAGCTGCGGCAGCTTCTTCTTCAGGTAATCGTCGTCCGTGAGCACGGCAATGATGCGCTTGCAGTCATTGATCTGCTCCACATAGGGCCGAAACGAGGGCAGCCGCCGTATGGTCTCCATGTCTTCATGCGTCAGCAGCTTGATGCGATTCAGCGCCTTGCTGTAGTCCGTGCACAGAGCGTAGGCATTGCCGGCAAAGTAGTGCTCCATGAGGCAGTACTTGAAGCCTTGGATGAACCCATGAATCGAGAAGTCGTAGTAGAGGAAAATGTGCGTGAGGAACTTGAATGCCTTGCCGGATAGATGGAACGCGTACAGCGGGGAGAGCAGCACCTTATCCAGCAGCTGAAACAAAGAAAAATTGAATGATAAATTCCATTCCAGCGAAGATTTCTCTCACCTCATTCAGACCCGTAGGCGCCGACTGTGTTTGAAAGACGCGCAGCCTAATCTTGCTGCTGACATGGTAGGGCAGCGTGCTGTGCACCGCCGACATGGCCGTGGCCACGCCCAGCACCAGGACAAATGGCAGCGTGTCGCAGTGTGCGCTCAATGTGAGTATCAAGTCCTGCAGCACGTGGCCGCTGAAGCACTCAAAGTCCGGCAAGATAACAACCAACTGTTGGCTTTTCTTCCTTTCCCCCGCTGGAAAGTTGTTACTGTACCAAGATTTCAGCTGCCGAATCGTGCAATGGGAGCGTCTCAGTCGCTTGCGATCCCGATCCTCCTCCTCTTCTTCGGCGTCCTCTTGGTGCTGTTCGCCTTCAATCAGGCTGAAGACCATGGCCTCGATGGCTGCTTTGAGAGTGGGACAATCGCGTGATTGCAGCACGCATACCCTGGCCGCCTTCTGGGCATGAAGGCGCTGCGTGAATGTCTCGAAATGGCTGAGATGATCCGGCTGATTGATGCCCGTGAGGAGTGCGGCTGTGGGCAGAATTTCATTGATTTCCTCCTCCTCCTCCTCCTCCTTCTCCTCAATCTGCCGCTGACCCACCACGAACTCCACCAACTGCTCGAGGGTGCGGGCATAGCTCTGCTGCTGCAGGCGCTGGATGTGCTCGTTCATCTGAGTCCAGGTGTGGGTGTAGGCATCGTAGAACGGCTGCCCGATGACCTCCTTGCCCAGCAGACTACTCGTGCCGCCTGTGGCTCTCTTTCGCTTGCCGGATGCCTTCTTGTCGGCACGCGTAGCTCCATTTTTGTAGACAAAACAGCCCTGCAAAAGAACAACTTGAATTTTCAGCCGCAGTGCACCAGATTTTTGCAACTCACCTTGGAAACGGATATTGTAGGATCCATAGCTGCAGTTCAACTGAAATTGCGAATGCTAAGCTGCAGTGGCTAAATGCAGGTTTATTTGTTTAGGTCAGCTTTGTGCCAATTTCAGTTTATTCACTCGGAAATCAAAGAACAAGCGAAATAAACAAAAAAAAAAACGAAAAGCAGCTGTGGCGAAATGGCGCCAAACGCAAATCAGTGCTGTGAAACGATTGTGTGCAGTGTTGCGAATCAATAGCTGTAGGCGCTCCTTTCAAACTCTACTGCGACTGCGACTGCGACTGCAACGCGACTCTGCTTGGTTGTAATCCTTTTTAGTCCTCATCCCAAAACATCGGTGGGGTTGGGTCTGTTATGAATATCAGCATGGACGTCTTATTTAGGTGCGCATCACACTCATCGGACCATTTGGGTGCCAAATGAAATGACAGCATAAACATAAGCAGAAAATCGTGAAAGAGCATCAGAGATGAAAGTAAATAGTCCTTGGTGCGCATTTCTGCAAACTTGCCGCCATTGATGATCTGTGCATGATACATGATAAACTGCAGGGGGATTAAATGAAGCTATACATGAATTGATTTATGATTAATTTACCATCCAAATGCTGCATACAACAAAGCCACGATGCACAAAAAATGAATACGGCATATTGGTCACAATGTGCATCATGAGGAAGTACATGGCGCCAATGAGTGCCAGAATGGCCAGCACAAAGAGCACAACAATATCCAGAGTTAGATCGTGCTGGGGAGAAGATGAGGCAAGAGTGTCAGGAGAATAAACTTCAGTGATAACTCACCGGCAGAAAGGAGCCGCACAGCAGAAAGATGCCCAGAGTCACAGACCAGATGACAAAACTCAGCAAAAATTGGTATTTATGGTGACGCACCACCAGCGATGCGACGCCCATGACAACGCACTCAAACTGCAAGTGAAAGCTGCCAGTTTTCTTTGCTTAAATGTAAACCAAACTCACTATAACAATGGCAAATATCCAATTGAGGGGCACCACAAAGCGCAAAGTCTCAAAGAAAATGAACAGCCCAAAGAGCACCAGTCCGACGGCGAAGAAAATGCTGCCCACCCAATATTTCTCGGTAAAGAATTCATTTGAAGCGCTCCTGAAAGTAAGCTAGGATTTAGCAAAGATGCGGCAAAGTCCTGGGTACATACAATTGTTGAATGGAAATCCATTGAGCCACCGAGAGAATCAGAAATATGGCCGTCAGTAGGTACGTAAGCCACGAAAATCTACGCCTCGCTTTCTTGTAGAAGTGCGAATTTGCTTGTGAATCCATTGTGTTGTGTTTTAATGTTACAATGATGTTAAAAAAAAAACACAGACTACTGGATACAATTTTAAAATTTCTATTCCGCGCGCATAGTGGCTTCGCCATTCTGCAGCACTGGCAAAATACGCGTTTCTTTCGCATTAGCCAACACTCGACCACGTCTTCAGCGTTTTCCCAATTTTTGCTGCTTTTATATTTTAATTTACTAAAATGTTGAGCGACGACGATGAACTAAACATATACGGCGACTTGGACGACTTCCAGAATGCCGAGGAGAAGGTGAGTGTGCCCCTGGAGTAGGCCAACAAACTGTATATAATGTTTTTTGTGTTGCAGAAATCCAAAGAGCTGGAGGCCTGGGAGACCAAATACAAAGGCGCACAGGCCGAAATCGAGGGCTTAAAGGCGGAAAACAAAGCGCTCGGCAAGAAGATCAGAGCCATGGAAGTCAATCTGCAGAATCTCATGGACACTGCCAAGGCGGAAATTAAGCGAAAGGAGTCGATGATTACGCAGCTGCGCAAGGAGTAAGACCAGACCACTTTGTCCATGATTCATTGCCTTTTTACATTTCATTTCTGCTGCAGGAAAGACGACATTTGCTTCAGACGTAAGCGTGGACGAGCTGAAGAAGATGCCAAGGACGTAGGCCAAGAGCACAAACGCTCCAAACTGTCGGAGCCTGGGAGCAACAAATTTAAGACTGCGCACGGCAATGACCACGAAAATGAACGACCCACGGATTACAAACACTCAGAGCACAAACGACCGAACCTACTAGCAGAACCTGCCACCAACAGAGTCAAGATAGAGTCTAAGGAGCCGAGAAAGCATAAACTGGAGGAAGCTGCGATCAATAAATTCAGAATTGAACCCAAAGTAAGTGAGAAAATGCAACATCAAAAGAGCTCAACAGGTGAGGAGGCAAACAGGGACAGCAAGCGCACAATTCGCAGCAGATCGCCCAGGGAGGAGCCACACAAGAGCAACGATCGACACGGACACTCCGACAGCCGTTTGAAGGAACGTGTAAGACGCCGCAGTCGTAGTCGCAGCGACAAGCGTTCCCATCGACATGAGCCACACCATCGCAGCCGCCAGAGCAGGGATCGCGGCAACAAACGAAGAAGTGCTTCGCGATCTCCCAACCGAACAGCAGCCGCAAAGCCCAGGTAAGGAGAAGAGAGAAATTTACTTCCATTCCTCACACTTCATCATTGATATCAGCATTTGACGATACTTTCAGTGCACCGCAGCCTCCTGACGATTGCTCCAAAGGGGCACTGAAAGCAGCCACAGCGAAGACGCTCTTCGGTGAGGAGACAGACGATAAAGTTCCAGCCACTCTTAATGTGGAAATGATTAAGAAAATGCAAGAAAATAAGTCCCCAGCGACGCCCCAGGAGTTGTACACACCAGAAAACAAATTGCAGCCCATCGGAGGGGAGAAGATTGCTAAAAACGAGGAGATAAGCAGATCTGCTATTGATGGTTACTTCCAGGTGAAACCTCAAGCCAAAGACTGCACGCTGCCAGCGTCACAAGCTGAGACGAAGATACAGGAGAAAGCTGCCACGGCGACCCAAGAGGAAGCTGGAATATTTTCTTGGGACAGCACTTTGGATAAGCAGCAGATACCAGGATTAGATATGATTTGTCAGCAGCAGTCGCCTGTGAAGAATGAAACTCATGACTCGAAAGAGCAGCAGCCTGAAGATGTTGAGGCTTTGGGTGCTGTCAAATCAGATGTCATTGAAGATTGCATCATTTATGGTATGGAGGAAAAGATTACGCGTCCCTTAGAGGATTGCCAGCAGACAGATTCGAACGAGAAAGTGCAGCAAAAGCAAGAGAGGCTGTCGCTGAAGCCAGAAACCATACCCAAAGCTGCAGTCAAAGACGAGGCCTTAATCAAAGAGCTGAGCACAAAAACTAGAACCAAATCGAAAGAAAAGAAGGGAAAACTGATTCCAAAAGTCATCAAAGCAACAGCACAAGTGGAGGATCAGGAAACGAAGCCAGCAAGTTCCGAATTAAAGGAGGCAACAGCAGCAGCAGTGACTGACAAACCGCCTTCAATGGCACACTTAAAGACACCCACCAAATGCTCGGACACGATTCTAGATGATGATTGTCCCACACCAAGGCGTGACACTGAAACTACTGAGATTCAAGCAGCAGAAGAGCTAGCAACACCGACAAATGGTTCAGCCATGAACACAATTTCGGAGCGTCCCATCCAGACTGCCGCAGCCATCGAAATAATTGAGGATATTCGATTGCCAGTGATAGTGGATATCGAAAATATTGCCTTGAGTGTCGATGTGCCATTTGATTCGTCAGCAGAAATTATTACAGATGGGAGCGCAGCACCACCAGACTTAGATGTCGTTGATGGCAAGAAGGAGAACGAGGCTGATGCTGAGCTTGCCAAGAAGGCAAGTTGTGTGGCTGAGCATATGCAGATTGAAGAGCAGGAAACTGAGGGATTGGGAGACAAAGCTGATGGAGAAGAGATGGAAGTGCCTGTAGCTGAGACACCTGTAAATGAGACTGTGCCTACGCCTGAAGCCCCTGAAGCGCCTGCTGCCATTGAGACGCTTTCAACCGCAACTCACGTATCAGAAGACGAAGCTAAGACGCCTGTGATTAAGACTGCAATTCCTGAGACCAAGAATGAGACGATGGAGGCTGCTGTAAATGAGACTCCAGCTGAGGAGTCGCCTGTTGCAGATGCTGCTGCACTGGAAACGCCTGTTAAAGAGACTCCTGAGACTCTTGTTAGTGAGATTCCTGTCAAGAAGACTCCAGCAGTTGCAGTTTCCGCAGCCAACAATGAAACTTCTGCTATAGAGACTCCTCCTTCAATGGAGGAGCCACCTGCAGCTGCAGTTAACGCATCGAAGAATCAGTGCCCCGGCAAGGAAACTCCCGCAATTCCATCCACTGGCATTGAGATTCCCATACTACCCCCACACGGCTCTATACACGATTCCTTGATTGTTGCAGCCACTTCCAAGCCTTCGAGCATTTTGTATGCCCAGCCAGACTCAACAAAGACCGACCACAGTGAGGATATGGTGCTGGAGGCGGCCATGAATGAGTTGACGGGCGAGCAGGAGCCAGTGCCGAGTGCCGCCAACACAAGCTATCCGAATCTCACGCTCGCCGAGGATACCATCGAAATGGCGCTGCAGCAGCTGCATCAGACATCGCCGGACGAGACAAAAGTGACGTCCACATCCAACAAATCCCAACAGACGCCGCAAAACGATTTGATGCAAACTCTTACCGCATCCCCGCTGCAGCTTAGTCCAGGGAAGTCCACGCCCAAGGGCAGGAAGACGACGCCAATGACGACGCCAGAGAAATTGAGAGTCGAGAAGACGCCGCTTAAGAAGCGAAAGATCCACATGCCCGAGGAGGAGGTAGTTGTGCCGCAGACACCACCATCACCAGTCCAGCCAGCGGCAGCGCTCCGCAACGAGGCATCGCCCACGCTGCAGCATGTGACCATCGATGAGACGCTGGATGAGAGCATCAATCACAGCTTTGGCAGTGACACCTCCGTGGTAACGAAACGCTGCTCCATGGGCTCCACGGACTACCAGTTCGAGCGCATCAACGACGAGATTGTGCTGCGTGTCTCGCGACGCCGACGACGACTGCGTCCATCCCAAGCACCGCCACTAGACGATGGTGAAAAGAGTGCCACACCATAAATAATTGTTGTTATATTTAGTTAATATGTTATAGGGGATCTAGTCTGTACATTTTTTCTTATATTTTTTGTAATTATATTTTCAACTGTTGAATATCGATTAAGGAAAAGGACAAACCATCTTTTGTTCACTGAAATTTATTTATGGCACATTTTTGTGCTCTCTTCCCAGAACTAGTAGAATTTTGAAGTGCTCCGGAAGTGGACTTAAAACTGATTGAAGTTGTTAAAAATATTGATAAAACATGCTGTAATATACGAATAATATATGTATGCCCAGGGAGGGACTTTTCAATGCCCTTTGTTATGTCTTCTTTATGCTGTTGCTGTACTCTCGCTTCGTGGAATGGGCGCCTGGGATGCTCTTACTTAAGCAGAAAATGCTTACATTTCGTTCCGAAATATGCAAAAACAAATCACGCAGTCACAAAATATTTTGTCGACAAAAGAAGTTTCCACTAATATTACTCGAAACCAGCTAATTTTGGCTCCTTCTTATACGCCCATTTAGTTGCATTAAACACTTTATTTGCTCTCAAAAAACTGCTCTCTGAACTAACGCATAAAAGTAGTCACATAATTAAATAGATTCAAAAACAATCAACAAACTAGGAGGAATCGAGTGAGTGCATTTGCACCTGTCCCGCACTGTCGAGGATCAGTAAATGCTGCTCATTGCTGGCGGCCATGTCCATGATTTTGGTTCCACTTTCCCCTGTCTGTGGGAGTTCCTTGTCCAAGTAAAAGTCGTAGGTGCGCACAGCGCCATTGGCCAGGGCGGAGAGACGCCAACCATCGTGGGAGAGCACCAGAGACTGAACGAGATGCTGACGCAGTCCACTGCCGCTGAGCAGGAGCTGCTGGTCAAAGATGCGCATCTCGTAGGAGCGCCGTGGCTGCCGTAACAGCTCCAGGGCCGTGTTGGGCCTTAGATCGTAATTGCTGGACTCCTGCGTATCCATTTGCTGCTCAAAGGAGCGTCGCTCGTTGAGGATAATGTTCTGAATGGCACAGGATTTGCCCACTTCCGATCCGAGTGGATCAGCGGTCGCTGTTGGCAGCCCCGTGGGTGGCCTCTTGTGTCCCTGCCGCTGCTGCTGCTGCCGTTGATTGCAGTTGAGAATCATCACAGAGCCGTTGGACAGACCCACCGCCACGAAGCTCTCATTGGAGAGCACACAGAGCGCGGTGGGGAAGAGGAAGCGACTCTCATTGACCGCGATACGACTGAAGCGTTCCGGCTTGAGGCTGCGCGTGCAGCAGAGCACGAAATTCCGATTGCTGCACACGTAGATGAGATCGCTGCCGGTGTCGATGCTGGTGAAGCGCAGCCCCTGCAAGCCCTGCCCCTGCAGCGCCGTGCTCAGCGTTTGCGTCTCGTTCAGCTCTCGCAGCAGATCGTCGCTGTAGATGTTGCCCTGGAACAGGGATTTGGTTTTCTCGTAGGCACTTTGATTGCTTCGCAGCAGCCGCCGCTCCACATAGTCACGCAGATCACAGCTGGCGCTCTGCAGCAGCTTCACTCGGGCCCACGGGGAGGTGTACTCATTGCTGCCGGAGGTAGAGGTCGAGGCAGAGACGTTGGAGCCTTCCACCAGCGTCCACATGGTCAGCAAGCCAGAATCATTCAGCGAGGCGTACTATGGGGACACGCAGATTATTAACAAGAACTTTGACTGGTGCTAGACACTCACCTGTACATCCTTGTGTGTGGCTGCAGCTGCCCCCGCCTTCTGCTGGCTGCGAAAGCTGCGCACATCCACCATGGCACCCAGATCCAAGGCATTGGCCTGCCCCTTCAGCGATGGCACCACCGATTGGGTGGCCGCAAAGTGCGTCAAGTGCCCGTCCAACTTCGAGCAGTAGCTGTAGGTCTCGCGCAGATCCCACATGGCCGCGCTGCCATCCCGCAGGCCCGCCACAATGATGTCTGGCGCCTCGCTGCAGAAGGCCACGCGGCAAACCTCCGCCCAGGTGGACAGCAGGCGCAGCGGCTTGGCGGGATGGTTGAGCGACCAGACCATCAGCAAGTTGGCAAAGTCCTCGCTATACACGTTGCTCTGTGGCGGGCACTCGTGCACCGTGACCACCAGCTGTCCGCTGGCAGAACCCCCGAAGATGCGGCGCACAGGCAGAGCATTCAGCAGGCCCGTCTGCAGGGGCAGCTGGCGCGGGCTGTTGGGTCGTCGTTGGGTGCTGTCAGCCAGAACTTTCCCCAGCAGTCGCGCGGCCTTATGCAGGAACGCACCGAGACGCTCAAGGTCCGTGGGTTTGGCCAGGCGCTGGCGTTGTTGCTGCTGCGCTCGCTGCTGCTCCACGCGATGCAGCTGCTCGAGGCGGAACAGGCTCGTCTCGTAGGCATCTGTGGGTCGTGTCAGCGATTCTTCCGCTTCGGCATCTCCGCTGCAGCTGAGCACCAACTGCCCGCCGTAGTGTGGCGGATGCTGCGTCCAACTGCTGCGAGTGTGCAGCTCCAGCGTCTGGCATTCGGTGTCCATGTACGGGGACTGCGTCTGGGTGGCCGACTGGCTGGTGTTCAGCTTACCGTAGCTCTGCATGTAGCCCTCGTAGCTCAGCGGTTGCATCTCAAACAGACGATAGGTGAGCTGGTCAAAGCGCAGCTTCCGCATCAGCTCCCTGCCGCGTCGACTCTCCACGGGACGGGACACAAAGTTGGCATATCCCCCGTAGTACACGTTGGACTCTGACTCCACGCTTTGGAGTTTCTCCTGGTCCGTGGTGCTTATGCCAGAGTCCAGCTGCTCCGAGTTGGCCATCGAATTGGTGTCGAAGCTGTCGCATTGATGCTGCGTGGACTGTGAGCTGAGCTCGGCCAGCAGCGGATGGCGGCGCATGTTCATGTCGTAGTGGCCCGAGTCCAACTTGCGTTCCTGCCCCTGCTCCCCCCTGTCCCGATGTATCACTGTGATTGGGTTCTGCGTGGGTTCAGAGTCCTCGTCTTCCTCCTCCTCCTCCTCTTCGACTATTTCTGGCTCTGGCTCGGCCATTGGCTGCTCTGCCTCCTCCTCCTCATCATCTTCGTCCTCGTCCGCTTCCTCCTCGGGCGTGCTGGAGCCAGTCTCAAAGTCTGATTCATACGACTCAAAGTCATCCTCCGAGTAGTTGTCCGATGCACTGTCTGTCCCCGTCTTTGGTTCCTCAAACTTCACCTCAAAGGCCACAGGCTGCTTCACTGGCAGCGCCTCCACATCGATTTCGCTCCTCTGCTTGGCCGACTCCCGCTTGAGCACCTTCACCTCCTCGGGGTCCAGCGTGCGCGTCAGGGTGCGTGTCCTGGGCTGTGGCGGCGCTCTTTCCGGCTCCGGGGATGTCTCTGCTGCGGTTTTTGGCTGCAATCGACGCTTCTGTGGAGGCGATGCCACCGTCACGCTGTGGTATGTGTCCAGCACGGCATTTGGCTTGGCCTTGGGCTTGGATTTGACAACCAGGGGCTGCTGTTTCACGGTCTGCGGCTTCTGTTTGACGGCACGCAGTGTACTAGGCGAGGGGGTCGTCCGCTTGGTGGGCTGTGGCGCAACCCGCTCTTTCGGTTTGCTCGCATTCGCTGGCGCTGCGGGTTTTCTGATCGTGGTTGCTGCCGTTATCACCGTCTTTGTGGGTTTCTTTAGTGCTCTGTCGCCTTCCACGCTGTCTGGCTGCTTGACCAATGGTTTTCTATCCTTAATGGTGGCGCCTGTTCCACTGCCAGCCGGCGATTTAGTCGTTTTTCGAATTTCATTTCGTGGCTACAAAAAATTACAAATTGTAACAGTTAAATTGCAGATTTAGATAGAGTTTGCAACACTGGCTGCTGTGCAGCTGACAGCACTGGCTTAAACCAAACAAAAGAAGATCGGTGCGGGTGTCGGTTCGTTCTTTAATTCATTTTAATTGATTTACAAAAGCCTTTGCATTATTAATATGCGGGCGTGTGCTTGTGACAACGTGGGAGCTGTGCTTCTGCTGCGAACTTAATGCAAAAATAACCAAGTGCCAGGTGAAGAATGGATTAAACGGAACATAAATGTGCTGCGTGTTTGTGAATATTTTACCAAGTGCAGTGCCAACTAATCTGTAAAAGTGAAGCCACCAGCGTGCATGGCATGCGAGTACTAATCAATTAATAGCCTTGTGCGGCGTGCTCTCTTATTAATTGTATTGTTTCTCTCACATTTGTCTTGCTGCTTGTACGCGCCGCATTCTTAGACATTTTCCAACGGCCAATGCCTTCCGAAATGGTTAATTTAAATGCTCAGTGAATGTCAGTTTAGTGACCGATTGCCACGTCTATTTAATCAATTGAAATGCAGATTATCCTGTTTTTGAGTTGTGACAAATTTTTCCTGTTTCCCTGGCAACAACAAACCCCAGTGCATAGCAACAATAACAAAAAAAGCAGCAATAACATGAACAGCTGATGCACAGTGCTGGTTAACACTGCACTGCCCGAATGCAACTGGTGAGTAATTTATCGATAGCAAACAATCGAAATATTAGCTGCAATTTGAACTAACTTAAAAGATAAACGCAGAAAATCGGGTGATACAGGTCCAGGACATTATGTTATTCTTAAAACAATTTTTAGCGTAATATCACAACAATAAATAAAGATTTGATTTGTGCTCTTGACTAAGAAAGGTGACGCCACACCGTGCAGAGGAGTGCCAGCAGCAGGAGAAGCTCAAAGTTGAAGCTGTCGGGACGCTGCGTTCCGCTCTCATCGTTGCTGCTGTAGTACTGCGTGGTCGCATATCTATCGTAGATGTGTTCCATCACCCGCTTGGCGTTGTCCCGGTGCAGCTCCTGCAGGCCCAGCAGCCCATCCGTAGTGTCCCGGAACATAATATTATTTCGTTTATCGAAGATTCCATACAGAGTAAAAGGACGCGTTTCGCTCTTGTATTTCCTGCCAAAGAGCTGGTCCATGTCGCGCAGGGAATTGTAGATCTCATTGCGACGCGTCAGCGAGGCATTGTGAGTCATGAGGTGACCACGCGTCGTCCAGTGGAGGTAGCAGAACTCAAAGTTCGAGTGCCGCTCGATGCCGCCGTACGGGCAGAGCACGCGGTAGTCCTTGTGTGTGCGCGCAACCCAGTCGGCTGTCATGTTGCCACTCACGTACCGCTTGTACACATCCGAGCTGAGGAAGGCAACGTCCCCGCCCTCGGCCAGGCAGCGCAGGGCGCCCTCATCGCCCTGGTAGTGCATGGGACACTCCCGGCCACGGTGCGGCTGCCACAGGCACGAGTCGCGATGGAAGTAGCCGTGCAGCGAGTGCACCCTGCCCGTGGCATTGGCAATGGCCTCCTGCACGGATAGGTGGGCAGCGCCCTCGTACGATGGCAGACAGGCGCGAGCGCCGCGGAGATCATTGAGTTGCTGATACTTGGAGTCCTTGTGGACCAGCGCAATGGTCACATAGCGATCGTGCATGTCCAGCGAGAACTCGTACAGCAGCGGCACGAGGCTGTAGTCCCGCTGTGCCCGCACGCGCATCTCCTGATCGACGACGACGACATCGGTGGCCTTGAAGCGGGTGTCGTCCAGGCACTGCTCCACGTTGCTCGTGCGCACGCATTGAATGTTCGGCTGCACGCCGTACACCTGTGAGGCCTCCTGCAGCCACGAGCATTTGATGTGCTGAATGATGGACGTTGTGCAGAAAACAATGGAGCGTGGGGGATTGCACTCCGGGAAGCTGTAGGCCGACTGGAAGGCTGTGGCCTGATCCAGATAGTCATCGATGGGAATGACATTGTCCAGCGGCACCGTGAACACGTGATATGTCTCCAGCAGACTCATCAGCGCATTCTGCCAGCTGTCGGGCTCGTCGTGGGTGAGTCCCGTGACCAGGCGCTGCACTTGGGCGGCATGGCTGCGTCGTGCGGCCACCACGGGCCATGGCTTGGCCACCCACACGCATGGCTGTGAGACATTCAGCGGCTGCAGATGCCCATCCGGGCAGAGGTAGCTGTACTCCGAGGGATCCGCCTGCGCCGTAATGCCCATAAACTATGAGATAGAACAGATTGGAGGATGAGCATGAGGAAACTTCACCCTTTTGTCGTCGTACTCACACCAAAGTGACTTCGCACATCGTCAAGACGCGCCCAGGAGACGCTGCCGCCGCCGCTGGTGAGGCAGTAGAGCGCGCCACGTCGCCCCCAGTGCTTGTCGTTCTGGTCGCAGTTGTAGGGATCGTAGCACATCTGGCAGAGCGAGGGATAGCGGCTCTTCAGTATTCGATCCTGCTTGGGGTCAGGCACCCAGGGACCCGCCTTGCAGCTGGGCCCAAAGTAGCGCGACGAAGCGGCAATGCGATCCTCCGTGACGGTCAGCTCGGGATCGCATGTCTTGGACACCAAAGCGGCTTCAAAGTACTGCAGGAAGAGGAAATAGAATGGGGATAAAGCGTTCTGCAATGTCTGCCCCGTTTTCCAACACTTACATTGGCCAACACCTCCGTCCAGTGGCTGCCCAAGCCATAGCCGGGATGGCACAACTTTGCACCGCGCAGATCGTGCACCGTGTGAATGTTCGCCTGATTGTCCACCACCGCCACAATCTCATACTCAAAGTTGGACTCGTGGGAGCGCAGCTCACTGGCCACCAGTATTTCCACGCTGGCCCATCGTGCCGCCACCAGATCCTCCGATGTGAGCACACCAAAGTGCGCTGTGCCCTTGTGTATGCGTCGCACGCAGTCCAACCGATCCACACCGATGACGCACTCAATGTTGCTCTTCGCCTCCAGCAGTGGACAGAATTTGGGGGTTTTCCGATAATTGCCGCGCGACTCCACCACACAAACGCGCACTACAATTTGGTTAAAGTTTTAGTAGATATTCCAACCAGTTGGACTGCACCACGCCCCCCTCAGTCTGCTCATTAATTATGCTTATTTTTAGCTGCTTTTTGTCTGTCTCTTTTCTTTCCCTCTGCCCATTTTGCATGCAGTTTCCGGCAAGGGATTTACCCGCTGTCCTGAGATCTGTTCAATTATAAATTCCCATCGCGAGACTGGGGAAACTTTTATTTGCACTTTTGCTGCGTTCCCCGAATTCGCATAAAGCCGAGAAGTGTCTTGGGTAGTGGAGCAGTCAGCCAGCCCCGCCCCAAGGTTACCCGGCGACAGGTTTTTGGTTTCGGCTTTAAGGTTGCGTCTTGCTGGGGAGCTGGGGGAGTGCCTTGGAACTGATACTATCTCTATAGCGGGTTTTGAACTAGCCAAGGTCACAGAGTTGCGCATGAAGTGGCGCAAGAAATGGATAAGCAAAAAAGGAAAAGGAAGTTGGGAGGGAAATTGGAATATAAACCATTGAACATTTAGTTACTTCGAATGGTTTTTGGAGTACTCAAAGCTCTCTGTTTCTTCTTTTGACATTTAACTATAGATTAACATAATATTTCCCTTTGTTTTCCTTTACAGAGATCACCATTGACGATACGCCCCCACCCAGCACTGACTTCAACTTACATTTGCCATCATCGGGCGGTGGCACAGCTACGCATATTGATAAGAAGGCTGCAATCAGCAGTCCCAATGTAAGCGACTGCATTTTGTATTTATTATTTATTAATACGTTTATTTATTAACAGACAGCCAGAAGTCGGCAGTCAGCAGTCAGCAGTCGTTGTGTGGCACTTTCCTGCTGTTTTAATTGTCACTTGGAAGGCGCTTAGAGGCTGCGAGTTTTAGTTAATTTTGTTGCACTCTGTCGTCACTGGGTAAACTATTTATAAATTATGAATTACAAAGTCAAAACTTGAGCTTGAGCTTGAGAGGCCGGACTTAAAGCCGAATCGAACCGCTCGCAATGGAAGATCAGCGGCGACTAAAGTCGACTGTCGGATGTCTGCTCTCTGGTCAGCTGTGTCGAGAGCTAAAACTTGATTTTGATTCCCCCAACCGATCGCAGCTTGAGGCTGTACTACGCACAACTGAGAGTGATGATGAGTCAAGCGGGAGATTTGGATATGCCAGATTGATTAGCGCTTCGCTGCTGGGATTTACCTGGCGACACAGAGAGGCAGAGACTCGCACCTTATCCTATCCCCACATAGACTAATGTTTGCTCTATTATTATGTGCTATGTCTATAATTGATTCGCTTATCGCTGGTGCGGACTTATCAACAGACTGCATTGCGATTGCCCAGCGGCTGGCGAGCGACTTGCCCGGCGACTTTTTCTTCAGTCGTTTGCTCGCAGTTCTCAGGCATCGAAGGGCCTGCACACTTGATCTCTCCCGAGCCAGTGGGTGTTATTTATATAATAAATAATAATACACATAATTATAGAGCCGCTGATGGGAGTGTAGAACTATTGTTTGTCAAATCAAATCAAAACAAATCCCAGCCTTTCTATGGCTTCCACTAAGCCTCTTTGTTTTCGCCTTCGATTGCTGCTTTTAGTTCACCTTTTTCCTCCGTGATTCCCTCATTAATTTATGCACATTTTGGGCCGTTAATTTGTCTACTTTTTTGGCCTTTCATTTGCTTATTTGTGTGTCTCCTTTTTGTGCAAATTTGTTGCTTGATTGATTATCTCTTTGCACCATCAATTCATTTGCCGGCATTTGTAAGTCGTTTTCTGCTTTTTGTGTGTCAATGTTTTGGGTGTTTAGTGGGTTCGTAAACCGGTTTATAATAAACACTTACAGCGACAGCGACGTGAATTGTACTTGTACTTATTATGGGACTACACTTAAATCTTTACCATCTACAGATAAGATTTGGCAAAAGACTTCTATTAGTATCTGTAGATAGGTGCGGGCAATGGGTTCCTATTGTTCCTATGCTGGCTGCTGTCTTTATGCTGCCGATTAAAGCGATTCCTTGGAAAGGTTCGGATTCTTATCAGATGGCTGTCTGGGAACACACACACAGAGAAACTCTGATTAGATATCGCCACCAATTTACATTCACATCACTCTTGATATTTACAGACTCCCACCCACCAGACGTTGATGAACGTCGAAGGCGAAAAGTGCACAAAATATGATCAGCAAACCCCAAAGATTGCACCTGAACTTGATCCCCCAGTAGACATGATTCTGCCTTGAAACTGTGATACATTTTCCGACCTTAAACGAACCCCGTGACAATGGTGCGACTCAATCGACGCCTGCTGCCCATCAAGGCGCATTTTTTCTTCTTTATGGCGGGTAAGTGATGGCCTCCGAAGAGACTCCAGATTAACTTTCAATTGCAATATTGCAGCCATGGGTCCCATTCTGCCACAACTGTCGGTGATTGGCAAACAAATTGGCATACCGCCGGACGTCATGGGCTACATAATGGCCGTGCTGCCCATACTCTATGTGCTGGCCAAGCCCCTGGTGGGCTTTCTCGCTGACTATTTTACGGTAGGTCAAAGCAGCAGCTCTCCCGTACAGCTAATCCCTCATTGATTCCCCTCTTTCAGAGCCTTCGCAAGTTCATTTTTATGTCCTTAATTGTAATCATGACACTGGCCTATGCTGGCTTCTATTTTCTGCCCAGCAACTCGCATGCCATAAGCCTCGACGAGGGCAGTGCCAGATGGAATGTGTCCGTGCTGCAGGCACCCACAGAATGCGCCCCGGAAGTGCTCTCCTCGCCCGACTACTGCCAGACGGTGGTCTCCGCGGATTGCGATGGATTCCAAGCGCTGATTGTGGCAGGTCTCAATCTCAGGCAGAATCTGCTGCATGGCAATGACAGCCAGCACATGTGCAGCCTCCACCCAGATGGAGGATCCCCGCTGGGAAGTCTCTCCTGCCAGTTGCAGCACACCGACAGCTGCATCTATGGCAGTGGCAGATTCTGGCTGTACGTTTGCCTGCTGTTCATTGGCACCATTGGCTTCAATGTAACCAATTCCATATCGGATGCCTGCTGCTTCGATCTGCTGGGCGAGGACGAACAGGACAAGTACGGCGCACAGCGCGTGTGGGGCACAATTGGCTTTGGCGCCACGGCCCTGCTGGCGGGCATTCTCGTGGACCTGTGGACCGCAGATGCCGTGAAGAGTCTGACGCCTGCACTCATCATTATGGCAGTGTTCAGCCTCCTCGATCTGTTCTCCGTGTCCAAGCTGAAGCTGCCGAAGCTCGGCGGCTCCGAGTCCATAGCGGCGGATGTGTGGCAACTCGTGCGACAGCCACCGATTGTCGTCTTTCTGGTGTTTGCCACCGTGGCGGGCATCATTGACTCGTTCATCATTTACTTCATGTTCTGGCACGTGGAGCAGGTGGCCGAGGAGACCGGCTACATGCATCAGATCAAGCTGATCGAGGGCCTCGTGGTGGCCGCCGAGTGCCTGGCCGGCGAGGTGCCCTTCTTCTTCTACAGCGGCAAGATCATCAAGAAGCTCGGCTACGTCCACTGCATGAGCATGTGCTTCCTGTTCTACGCGTTGCGCCTGTCGCTCATCTCCTGGATACCCAACCCGTGGTACCTGGTGGCCGTGGAGCTCTTCTTTCAGGGCATCACCTACGCCCTCTGCTACACGTGCATCGTGGCCTATGCCTCGGCTGTGGCCCCACCAGGCACCTCCGCCACAGTGCAAGGCCTCATGGCCGGCATGGACGATGGCTTGGGCTTCTCCATTGGCTCGCTCATCGGTGGCTTCATGTTCAAGCGGCTGGGCGGGCGGGAGAGCTTCAAGTACTTTGCCATAGTGGCCATTTGCACCTGTGTGGCGCACATCCTGGTGCGTCCCATCTCCCGCAAGCGGCAGTTTCTGCCCAAACAAGTCTACCAGCAGCCCACGGAACAGCCGCAGGACGAGGCCAAGTATCCTCCAGCACAGGAGCTGCAGGAGATGCGCTGAGCCCAAGACTTTTATGTAGATTTTTTAACCTGTTTTTTTTTATCGAGAAACAAAGTAAATTTGTTGCCCCCCCCCCCACCAAAAAAAGTTGAATGACTTTTCCACAATTGTTGAGGAACACACGCGACGCCCCTTGTCTCGCCCCTTCCCCTCTACAGCTGTTATATAATGACAAAAGAATTTATTGAAAGTGAAACCCAAATTGAGGCACGGCAGATGCTCGCTCGCGTCGCTCGCCTCACCGCTTAAATGGCACACAATTCCCACTCCATTTATTACCAAAAACTGGCTATATCCAACCCGAAAGTGTAACACTGATCAGCGCTCCCCCCTCGACCCTCTCCCACTGCAGCATTGAAGATCTTTAGACCACTTTGGGCCAGTGTTCAGTGCCCATGATTTATGCTCGAGTGGATGGGGCCCCACTTCAGAGCTGTCCGATTGAGTGGCGGACATTCAGAACAGCGGCTATAAAAGCCAATGGATTGGGCCCAGAACGGCCCACAATTCACGCAGATTAGGCTGAAGATGAAGGTACTCCGGCTGAGGCTTCTCCATCTGTTCCACCTGCTCTGGCTCTCCTCGCTGATCTCCGCCCGCCAGGTGGGCAAATGCAGCCTCGCCCGCCAGCTCTATCGTTATGGCGTGCCCTACAGCGAGCTGCCCGACTGGATGTGCCTGGTGGAGGGCGAGAGCTCCTTCAACAGCAAAGCCATCAATCCCTCGAATGTGGATGGCTCCGTGGACTGGGGCCTGTTCCAGATCAACGACAGATACTGGTGCAAGCCGGCGGATGGGCGTCCCTCCACGGATCTCTGCCGGCTGCCCTGTCGCCTGCTGCTCAGCGACGACATCCGCTACTCCATTGCCTGTGCCAAGTACATCAGACGGCAGCAGGGATTCTCCGCTTGGGTGGCGTGGAATAACCGCTGTCAGGGCAGCAAGCCGCATGTGAGGCACTGCTTTAGAAGGAGATACAGGAGCTCGGGTTGATTTTTGCTTGTGTGATGTGATAAAAGAAGAAAATCAACCATTAATAAAAGTATTTGCCATTTTTAAATATTCATTTATCTTTGTTACATTTTAACTACATACCTCTCCGTGGCGCCACCTAGTGCTGCCATATATTCTGCGTATGAAAAAAAGCTGGGTGCTATGCGTCTGTGGCACATTTGGAGACTTTTTCGCCAAAACTGGATACCCTGTACCCTTGAATATCCTCGAATCTAGATGTATCTAGATGGGTATATTTTACATATAGAGCATCTCATTCTAAGACAAAGTCATTGTTAATATTTAAAAACAGCTGGGATATGTATTTTTATTATGAGGTATAGCAAATAGGGTACGCAAGTACCCAGGATAGCAACAAATTGTCAATTGACGGAACATGCCATTCCCACCCACGTAACTTTAAATGCTTTTTTTTTAACCATGCGTTGCTATTAATCTAATAAAGAAGAGCCATGAAAATAAGCCAATCTTGTGGAGATTTGATTGATGAATCGAGAAAAACTATTGGTTTATTGCTGAAAGTCCTAACCAGCTAGTAATAATAAATAGAACATCAAAGTCGAGGAAAATTATTGAAGATTACAGTATTATAATTAAGTATATTTTGAAAATGAGAGAGAATATTTTGGTGTACTTTCGAGGGTCTGTCGGTATTTAATTATGCGGTCACACTCTGAGCGTTTAGAAGCAGGAGAGGATTTCCCTGACCATCATATGAAAAATTCAAATCCAAAGTTATAAAAGATAAGGTCATAAGGTACACATTCCAATAAAGAGGAGTATTTTTAGTAAGCCAAATTATTCTTCTTTCCGATTAAATTATTGTTTCAGTGGTAAAAGTCATTGCATGTTATTAATATCAAATAGAACATCAAAATCGAGGAATCTGATTTAAAACTACGGTATATTTATGGTATATTTTTTAAAATTAGATGGTATATTTTATCGATAATTCCGCGGTCACACTATCGACCATCCAATTAAAGTAAAAAAAAAAATAAATAAATAAATAAAAATTAAATAACATTTAAAACATTGTTTACTGATTAATAAAATGGCATCTGCATCTAGTTCGAGTGCCCGTCACCTCTTCGATGAATCCAAGAAACGCCTGTGTGCCCGCGTGGGGATAAATGTGAATAATTTGGGTGAGAATTGGGGGACACCCAAGAGGATTTGCTGAACAAATTTATTAACTTTACTGTGGCAATTGCAGGCTCTGTGGCACGACAGGTTGTGCGTGCATCCAAATCCAATGAGGTGAGGCATTCATTTATGTTTTTCAATGGCTGTAGCTAACTTTTATCCCTCAGATTATGCATCAAACGCTGAAGAACTTCACGCAGGTGGACGTCGTGTCGGACTACAGCAATCAGAATCTGCAAAAGATGAGCCTGATCCTGCAGCACGTGGGCTACCAGTATGATGTGATGCAGGACAGTGTCAATCATTTGGATTACCTCAAGGAGCAGGTGACGGCCATGGAAAGATGATTGGAAGAGCAAAAGCCTAGGCATTAGAAGCACACAACACACCACGCCACACCTAGCACACACCCGGCACAACCTTGTATCACCTATCCAAGCCCATCCATAAATATTTCCATAAATACCAAAGATAGTCAGGGCACAAGGTCAGCCCCTGACCCTGGCTAAGGCCACCTAGAGACCGTGACTGCCAGCAGAAATCTGCGTCTGCCGAGCAGGAGATAAGATAAGATATAGCCACAGAGACCCGATCCCGGCTATAAGAAGACGACCCCAAGGCAGAGTTCAGCACAGTCGACAGGCAAGATGCTTAGCTTACGCTTGGGAATATCTCTGTGGTGCATCTGGCTGGCGGCAGCCACCGAGAACAACACCACTGGACAGCCGCAGGATGGCCGCATTGTGGGCGGCTGGGAGACGAGCATTGTCCACTTTCCGCATCAGGTCTCGCTGCAGCTGGGCACGCGGCATGTCTGCGGCGGCGCCATCCTCTCACCCACCCATATCCTGACCGCCGCACACTGCGTGCTGGAGTACAGCAAGCCACAGTACTATGCGATTCGAGCAGGCAGCAGCGAGTGGACGACAGGCGGCAGCTACACGCGTGTTCTGCGGATCGTGCCGCATCCGAACTTCCACCAGCCAACGCGTATGAACAACGACATTGCGCTCATACAGCTGCAGCAGCCACTCGTCTACAGCAGCAGCATTCAACCCATTGTGCTGGCCACCAGGCAGGACCAGCCCTCCTCTCAGCTCTTTGTCAGCGGCTGGGGCAGCCAAGCGATCTCCCAGCTGCAGCCAGAGAAGCGTCTGCGCTACACAGTCGTACAGCAGCGCGACCAAGCGCAGTGCGCCAGGAACTACTTTGGCGCTGGCACCGTGACCAGCAGCATGTTTTGCGCGGGCACACCACAAGGCGGACGCGACAGCTGCCAGGGAGATTCCGGTGGTCCGCTGGTCATCAGCCTCAATGGACGCATGCGACTCTACGGCATAGTGTCCTGGGGCATGGGCTGTGCCCATGCCATGTTCCCAGGCATCTACACAAGAGTCGCGGAGTACAATGATTGGATAGAGCAGACAATGAAGGAGTTAGCTTAGCGATTTGTAAATTAATTAAGTTATAAAATAGTTCCTACTACGCTCAAAGATGTCCCTCTAGTATCGATTTCTAAGCTGCAATAATCTCTTCAATGACTAAGTGACTTAAAATTCATTAATTTATGTGTTTATTGCCAGTTTTAATGCCAAAATGTTTACCTTGTTTGGGGCGGCAATGCAAAAATGTTGAAAACAAGTTTCGGCCTCGGAGCGGGGCGCTTCGCTTGTGGCTCGTAAAGCTACAGACCGCAGCAGACCTGTTTGTGTGGATGAACTGCTGGCACGACGCTGAACACAAGATGTTGCCCAAGTCTCAGTTTCAGTTACCGTTCGAAGCTCAACAGCGGAGGCAGTGCCGAACACACTAGACTCGGACTCAGACAATAGACATGGCCATGAAGCAGCAATTGATGATCATTTTGGTGAGTCGTGCGGCGTGTGTGGGAGTTGTGTGGCTGACCTAACGGGGAGTGGGCGCCCACTCTTCCTGCTTTGTTTTTCTCGCAAACTGAAGGTCGTGTACGCTTGGAGCGTGGCCAGCGATGTGTCTCACCTGCTCAACCAGCAGCATCAGGAGAAACACAGCCCAGCCAATCCCTATGTGTTCAGCTATCAGGCTGGACGTGCGCCCGGCCATGTGGATCGCCAGCACACGGAGGTCTCCGATGGTTCGGGTGTCATTCGCGGCGCCTTCTCCTACGTGGATCCCAAGAACCAAGTGCGCACAGTGCAGTATGTGGCCGATGAGAACGGCTTCCATCCGCAGCTGAGCCACCAGCTGGAGGACAGTGCCGCCGTCAAGGCAGCCAAGCGCAGACATTTCGAGGCATACAATCGCATTGCGCAAGAGCATGCGAGCCACACGCCCGGCCAAGCGGTGAGTAGAACTGGCCACTGAAGCTTTTCTTTTCCACATTCCACATTACACTTCCTCCTCTCCCCCTGCAGTCTCTAGCTGCAGCTCCTCACGCCAGCGCCGCTGTGGCGCATGCAACGCAGAAGCATCTGAACGCCTTCGAGCGCATCGCGGCGGAGCATGCGGCCATTGGGGCACAGCAGGAGGCACAGCGCTTGGCCCTTGCTGCCCAGTCCGAGCACGGTGAGGTGGAGGATGGACAGTATCATCCTTGAACAGTCTGCAACTATACGAATAGCATTCAAAATAAATCAATTATGAGCTGCAAACGAATCAAAATTGGCTTTTGAAATGGGGCAATATCTCTGGATCTGCATCTTTCAGCTCTCCAATTAGTCACTCGCAGGCAGCATCAGATTTCATGAGCGTAATTTGTTTTTGCCATATAAAACACTAATCAGATCTCATACTGCCTATAAGTAGGTGTGCACAAACCAAATTTCGAGTGGAAACATGTCGCCTCCATTTCTGTCTGCGCTTCTTTCGCTGTTGCTCTTTTATGGCTATGCCTACGTAAGTTCGTTTGATCGATCCCAATTGATGAGTTCCACCATCTGTTTGCTGGGCATTGTCTCTCCCACAGTGCAACACTGTCATGTTTAATCCGTGTCGCAGCCAAATTGACACCACACCAGAGGAGCAGCGATTATTTCTGGACAATTGGCAGGAGCACGGGAGCTCGATCGTTCTGGATCGTTCCTTCAGGTGTTTTGCCACTTGCATACTCTACGACATGCACATTATGGATGAAGATGGGCAGCTGCACATGGAGCAGTATATGGTGGTGGAGGCCCAAAAGGCGTCGTGGAACAGCAGCGTGGCCAAGTGTCAGGCAGAGTTCGGGGATGAATTGGATTCCTGTGGCTATGGCTACGGCATGGCCAATTGTTTGCTGTCGCTGAGAGCAGCTCGTAAATAATAACGGATTCCAAAATAAAGATTCGCGCTCTCTTGCGTGCGCTCTCTTGCGTGCGCTCTCTTGCGATCCCTCTCTCTCTCTCTCTCTTCATTGCTAATCTCTCAAAGCAGACGGAATAACTGTTCGTGCTCTCCCCCTGCTAGTGGCGTTTAAAGATTAGGCTTCTGTTCTCTCTCCCCTCTGCTAGTACCGTTTGTTTCTTCTTTTCGCTGTCCCCCGTGCCAGTTCTGTTCTTGAAATCGTTTCCGCAGCATTGCCGCCGCCGCTCCATGGTTCGCCTTTGGCTCTCTGTGACCCTCCTATCGGTGGTGCTGGCTTGCGCCGGCCACGCCCACGGCTACGAGGTGCCAGAGGCCCGTGTGCGTGTGTTCTATCCCAAGGGATTCGAGGTCTCCATACCGGATGCGGAGGGCATCTCGCTGTTCGCCTTCCATGGCAAGCTGAACGAGGAGTTTGATGGCCTGGAGGCGGGTCGCTGGTCCCGCGACATACCCAAAGCGAAACGTGGACGTTGGACTTTCCGGGATCGTGAGACGGTGCTGAATCTGGGTGATACCCTGTACTTCTGGACCTATGTGGTGTACAATGGACTGGGCTATCGGCAGGATGACGGCGCATTTGTGGTGTCCGTTTATGATAATCAAAGAAATTAGCGGCAGAATCTGTGGAATTGGCGAAAACAAAGAAATAATCAAAAACAAAGCTGATCAATGGTGCGGGAGCTCGACCTGCCAGCAGCTGAAAAATTATTAAATTTAACTGAGATTCTCTGTAAATTACACTGTGCAACAAATGGCAAAGTTTTGAATGTACTTTGCACGAGAAAAAATTAGGTTGTAGGCCCGAATCCGTAGATCACTTTCCTATCTATAAAATGTACGAAAAAGTCACCCGAAAATCATTTTTGTTTAAACCGTGATTTGACTCCGGGACTTCTCTCTTTATTATAATTTTTATTCAGCAATTGCAGCTCGAATATCAATAAAAAAATATTCTTTTGCTAGAAAATGTTACCAACTTTCACATAAATTTTAATTCGAGATCTTAAAATGAACAATCTCAAAAATATAATGACTCAAAGTCGCATTTTTCTACCAATTAAAACATTACAAATTTCTTCAACTTTGACCATTATTTTTATAAATATTATTTTCTGCCTTTTACGCTGACTGTCCAGCACTGCCCGTAATGTAATCAAGTCAACGGATATTTAAATCAAAGGCTGCACAAAAATTCTTTAATGTAAATTCATATTTCATTGAGCGGGACCCAGGAGCCGGAGCCGGAGCCGGAGCCGGAGTCCTGTCCACCTTGTGGAGCTCTCTCATTATGGCTGTGACGTTATTTAATTATTTTTCGTCAATAAAAAATGCATTTTTGCACTGAAAATTTATGGACTTTTAAACGCTGTAATTAATCATAAATAAAACGTCAGGCATTAATGGACAAAAAGGAGGGAGCGATGGCTGGCTGGATGGAGTCTCTGGAAATGATACAAAATGAAACTCAAACCAAAGCCGTGGCCATGGGTCTGTAATGTCCTTTATGAGCTGGACAACTGCACGAGTGTGTGTGTGTGTGTGTGTGTGTGTGTAAAACACCAGACGCATTCGCAGAGGAAGGAGAGCCGAGAGGCAAAGGATTCGCCAGGCAAATTGATGAAGTTTTAGTTGCGGCAACTTCGCTCTACGCTCTACGTGATGTGTGCGTACCAGACACAGGCGCAATGCCACAATGACCACGCCCATTTGACTGGATTGCGCCCATACCCTGTAATGGGGAGAATGGCGGGGTATATAGTGGAGATAATTGTAGCAGCTGAAAGGCATTCTTTGGCACTCTTTGAGAGAGAATCAACAGTCAGCTTCGCCTGCATATCATCGCTAAATAAATATTTAAGCCACTCTCCGCACCACAGTAATTGCTGTAAAGCAAAAAGGTTTCAGGCTATAAAATAAACAATTGATATCGATAAAAACTTTAAGAACTCATTCAACCATCGGTGGATGTAATGGAATTCAACAGTTCAGCAGTACCAATGGATCCCTGATCCATCATCCGCAGTAAAAACTATAAATTCGATTTCCGAATCCCATAATTAGCTCACAATTTGTGGAGGTTCCTTTCCACTCAGACTCAGCGAATATGTGGCCAAGCAAGAAGGTATTCCTATTGTACCAATATCCAATATCGACTGTATATATCTGATGTTCTGTGTCCCTTTGTGGCGTGCCGTGCGCCGCCTCTCTGTATGCCTTTTGGTATGCAACAACAAAGCAAATGCAATTACAACCTACATGGACATACTTTTTGCAGCGACTGTGTGTGAGCCGAGACCAAATTGGTCTGGCAAATGATTTTGGAACTGCGGCTGCGACTGTAGCTGCTTTTTAGCAGCATTTTTCGCGTGTCCTGCGTAGTCCGTGGTGCAGCAAACTCCCTTCCCTGCCAACGCTCCTTCTCCTGTCCTTGGAGCCACACAAAGCTCATGGGTTTCCTGGCATTTTTGCAGACTTTTCTAAGACACTAAGAATGCAATTTTTTGCAGCTAAATTCTAAGCTATTTGGATACGCTATCATCTTTCGGATAAGTTGATAAATAATTCCATTTGGTTTGACATGCAAAGCCGGGGGTTTGCAGTCCCTTGAGTAAGTGGCCAATAGAGCTGAGATCTGGTGCTGCCCCAAACGGATGGGCAATGTATCGCCGGAGCCAAATGTCTGTAAGAATACGTTCAATCCTGTTGGAGGTGCGGTGTCCTGGAAGTAGGTCCTGTTACACACGTTCAAGCGCTTAATGCCCGACACGTTTCGAGCTTTGGGGCGTGCCGGGGACCCTGGTGAATGCCACTCCCTGTGACTCCTTCCTGTACATATTTTTGTGCTCGTCGTGTCATAAATATTCTTTTGCCGCTGCTTTATTTCTGTGCCACGACAACGAGAACGACAACGACAACGATGACGACTACGAGAAAGCAGTTTATCAATAATGCAAAATATTCAAACGGGAACGGCAATGGGGTGGCGGGTCGGGGGGGGGTTTGTCGTGGCATAAGCTGCTTGGGCCACAGCTAAAGCTGTCATGGCCTTCGCTTCGATGGCGTCGATGCCGATGCCGATGCCGATGCAGAGTGCGCCCCCCAGTACTTCCTCCCCCCCTCAAGTGTCAGGCAGCAAGGACTTAGTCGCAACTGGAGCAGGACCTGCTGCAGCAGGAGCTCTCGATGGAGCAGCAGCAGCAGCAGCCGTTGCACTTTGTGTGCATGTTTGTCGATTTGACTACGATTGCGGAAACGTATACAGTTCGTTGATCATTATCCGGTTCGTGATGCTCCCTCTCGTTTGCCTCCAACCCAAGCACGTGACTGGCAGAGTCCCTCCATTGAGAGAGAGAGAGAGAGAGAGGGAGCGGGAGCGGGTATTGGCATGTGCCCTGCTCCTTGCTTTATGTTTTGCATTAGCGGCACTTTGGGACACAACGGACAGGGCTGGTGCATTAATTTCACTTGCTACTTATGCCGCATTAAATGTCCAGCCATTTGTGAATCGATGGGCTGCTAATGGTGCATCGTGTGACAACTTAATAGCCCATTAGGAGGTGCCATCTCTTGGCTCTAAAGTTGACCAAGTTGCGGCTGATTTTAGGCAGCTTTCAAAGCGTCTCCCTGTGCCCCTCTTTGGCGCTGTTGAAATCAATATTTGGCGAGTCAAAAACGCAGAGCCGGGGGAAGCAGAACACAGCAGAACACAGAGGCTGCCGTTCAAAATCAAATTAGAGCAAATTCTAGGTACTCGAAGGAAGTGCGCTGCAAGCGCAGGAAACAGGAAGAAGTGGCAGTACCCGAGAGTCGACAGTCGACAGTTGGCAGTTGGCAGTCGGCAGTCGGCAGTCAGCACTCAGGGCAACAGGAAGACAGCCCCCAGGTAGGACTAGGACTTCCCCTGCCACTCCTCTTCCTTGACGGTTTACAGCGGTAAAGTTCAAATCAAATAAGAAAATCTGATTGAATTGAATTGAAACTGAGGTAAGCTGCATGCCCCCCGCCCTACGACTGCCCTCCCCCTTTGTTCCTTTTGATTTATTGATTTTGCAGGCAAGAAAATTTAATAAGAGACCATTTTTATGAGCACCCCCCCGCGCGCTCGTCCTTTGTTTTGTTGTCTACAGGGAAAGCCCCCAAGGAGGGCCCAAAAGGGAGCCCAAGGAGCAGCCAAGTTTGCCCCTGGGCTCTATCCTTAAGGTAGACTTTTGAGTATTTTTTGTTGCCTGCAAGATTGTTTCTTGGGAGCTGGTTTGAAGAGCCAGATCGAGTGAATTTATAGTGGTTCCACGAAGATACTCTTAGAGACGCTTTTCTCGGCCAAAGATATATCCACCTCTGAGTCTTATCCCTGCAGTTCTTCCGTGAGTTTTGGCACGTTCCCTACCATCTCTATATGGATGCTTTGTGTCCCTGCATTTTGGGCTTACTGATTCGCATCAAACATTTTATTTACAACACATTTACGCATTCATCTGTCCTTTATCCCTATCCGAATGGTGTTCGTTCTCTTCTGCCTTTCTCTCTCTCCCTTTCTGTGTGTTTTTTTTTATGTATTTTCGCCATTTTTGTCGTTTGTTGTTTGCGTTTGGCGTTGAGTAGCGGAAATAGTAAAAGTTTTCTAATGAGAAAAGTTTCGCACACAGACAAAAAGAGGAAGCCGAACGGCGACAGTAAGAGACGGCGACAGTAAGAGAGAGAGAGAGAGAGGGAGTAGGTGAGGCTGTAAGAGAGTGCTGGAATAAGAGAGGGTGTAAGAGAGAGCGGAGTCCAGAGCAAGACATCATCTGAGCGAAGCAGAGCAGAGGGTACAACAGGAAAGGGGCAGTTACCCCCGCCTCTCGCTCTGCCTCTCTTTCGCACTGTGCTAAGTCCCCCCCACTCCCCGCACACTAACTGTCTTCACTGCGTGCGAGAATGTTTCACATCAAAAACTAAACACGTCAAAGTAAGCAACGGAAATGAGAAAAAAGTGCGCTTATTTATTTGTGCACACTGCCAGAGAGAGTCAAACGATTTCGTAGTGAAGTTTGTCATGGCAGGTGGTGAGAGAATGCCAGGCAGCAGGGCATGTGGCTTCAACTTTGAGCAGATTGTTGTTAGAGCTTAGAACAGTAGAGGATTTATATTAGATCATAAACCATATCAAGAGGATCCACCAACAAACACAAATATTACCCAAAGATCTCAGCGATCTCTTAAATAGAAGGTGTCCATCCCCCTTTGCAGGGCATCTAATCCGTCGACCATTGCGCGCTGTTTGCGTTCCCCTTTTTATTTACACTTTCCCTTTGTCTCGCGCTGTCGCGTTCGCTGGTTCCTCCAACTCCACTGTCTTTCCTCTCTTTCTCCTCTGTCTTACTTTTTCCTCTCTCTCTCTCTCTCTCTCTGTACTGTCGCCTGCATTGCCTTATTTGACTTGGACGTGGCCAAGGATGTTGTCGCTGTTTGTCGCTGTGTTTTTCTTGCCTCGAAGACAACATCAAAGCGCGTTATAATTTCAAAATTATGCAAAAAGCTGCAGAGCAGAGCAAACATGGAGCGGAAATGATGAAAAATAGCAGCACCTTGGAGAGCGCGGGAGTTGCCATCATTTGTCCAGCGGCAGATGCCAAGGGGGTGCAGGGGAACGCCTTCTGTAATGGAACACGGAGATTGCAGCCATAAAAGAACCGAATTTGCTGTGGCCAACACAGACTTAAGCCAAGCCGGCTAATTATTTGATGGAGAAATAAGCTTGAAGGTTGAACGATAACTGATCAGTGAGGGAGATCCATTATGCACATGCAATTGTAGCCCCGCGTAGTCTCCATGTTTGCCATTTTATCTTCAGTGTTCCATCTGCTAATAACTATGATTTAGCAGCCCATTGACATGTTTTGGCGACTAACAAGATGTGGGATAAGGCCCAATTACAGATGCCACAACATGGGGCAGACCATGCCTATAAAAGCCAACGTATATCCAGCCGACTTGTAGTACACCTTTAAGCATCTTCTGGCATTCTATTTCTATTGGAAACAGCTCTCAAATGAAGCTATTTTGTGCCGTTTTGGTTATTTACGTTGTGGCTTTGATGCTCTTTGGCGCCGAGGGACATGGCAGTGGCTCCAGCAGCGCCGCCGAGGTGAGTCCTTGCTCATTTATGGCAAATATTTTCTGCAACATTTCCCTCCGCCTGCCACGCAGCAACCCAAACTCCGTGGCACACTCTTTCAGCGGGTAAGTGTGGCAGTTGGGCATCCACAGCTTAGCTCTGCTAATGCAACGTTTTCTTACCTGCCTCCTTCTAGGCAGGGCGCCATGTCCGCGAGCTGAGCCAGGAGTCCGCGAAGGTGGCGAATGAGGAGCAGCCGCCACCGCCCAAGCAGTTCAGGGTAAGTTTTGTATCCCTTTTGCACTCGATTATCCTTTATTTTGTATCAATTGTAACCAGTCCCGCCGCGCTGTGGCCAATGAGGAGCCAGCACCACCACCCAAGGAATTGAGAGTAAGTTTGAGACGCATCTCGAGTCGAGGCTTTACTTGAATTTTCCACCCCTTCCCCCAACTGCAGCAACGTCGTCAGGCTCCACCCGGCTTGCCGCCACCACCCGAGGGCTTGCCGGCACCACCGCAAATGTAAACAGCATCAGGATCCAGGCAGGATCCATCACGTATATGGTATATGGTTGGGCGTTTTAGCAGTGTCAATGGGAACCACATCGAGCAAGGCAAAAGGGAAAACCAAAGCGCACAATAAAACTGTTTTCAAGCATTCCAAAAATCAACAAAGAACATTTATCCTCTGAACTGTGTTACTGGGAAGGGCTGAAGGATAATCCTTGGCAGCTGTTTGGGTGATTAGCAGCAGGTAGCAGCTACAGGTAGTTCCTACCTGTTTCTCGCTATAGTATATAAGCCTCAGTTTTCAATCTCCAACCAAACAGTTCGAAGATCCTCGTTGCAAGATGAAGTTCGTTGCATTTCTCCTGCTCGGCAGCCTAACTCTGGCCTTGGTGTTGGCATTTCCTGCTGAGCTCGGCGCACATTCTGCTCTGCCAGCTGCTGACGCTGCTGCTGAATCAGCTGCCACATCCGCCGGGACAACAGCGGAGAACCAGGAGGATCCTGCGCTCCTCCGTGAGCCACGCCATCTGCTGAAATATTTACTCTCCAAGCCCGTGGTGGTGCAGCCCATTGTGGTGCAGCAGCCTTATGCCACATACCCCAGTGGCTATGGCCGCGGCTATGGCTATGGCAATTCCTACGGCTATTCCTACTACGGCAACCGGCGCTATTGAAAATTGTGTTAAATATTTAAGAACCCAAATTTAAGAGACTGAAAATAAAGCTACATCTAAGTCGAATGCCCGTTTGTGTTTGTTGTTTGTACTTTATGCAAAGTCAGAAACAAATCCCTTAAGTTGAGACTACAAGGAGTGTGGGGAGTGTCCTGTCCCTAATGCCTAATTAGGCATGCGGGACACGTACAGTCAAACTTCATGAAGGTCGCGCCTCGCTGACGACAACGCTGTGGGATTTTTAAGCATTGGATTTGACAGGAAATAGCAGGAAATGGAAACTTAAAGCAGCGACACAGTAATTACTGGCAAATGGAATCCATTGGATACGCCACAAGGCAGAACCACAGAGCATTGACTGGCAGAAACTTCCATTCCAACTGCAGACAGACACCAAAACGGAATCCCGATGAGGATAATTCCTTCGAGAAGCATGCGGCACTCTACATGCGCGGCAACGCCAATCGTTGTGGCATGTACAAGGACTACAAAGTGTGCGCCACCAAACACGGCATGAAAATAACCAAAGCCAAAGCCAGCAGCAAGTGAAATTCTACAAGGAAATGGTTACGCTGGAGCATCATCGTCACACGGTGCTGATCACTTTGCCCTCGGAGAGCAGCGCGGAGGGTGAGTTTGTCACTGCCCGAACGACGCATCCGAAGAGGCTCTACGCTGGCTCCCGCTACGGCTTCAACGCTAGAGATCAAATTACGTTTATATCGATGGTTTATGCAGCACTAGCGAGCAGCCTGCACATCTCTAAGCTCTAATTTATTAACGGCAAGTTTCATTCATGGAATAACTTGGCAATCAATCAATCCAGTTCCAAGTAAGCAACTCCCCCCATAGACCGGGCATTGGGTTGCGACTGGCACACAGCTTATACCTAAGCTCTCTGTGCCAATTTGCATGATCAGCTGATAGATGGTTCGTTCGCACCAGTAAATGGGGAAAAAACCAATTGTATTTTCTCAGTAAATATATTTAGCATTTTTATGACGCCCCCACGGAGCACAGCGAAGCGAATGTTGTTCGTTGTTGGGTTGTTGTGCTGCTAGAGATGGCCTTTGTGCAGCATCGTGTCGCGATTCTCCACCGCATAGCGATCGCCCACAAAGTAGTTGTTGCCACTCTTGGCCACCACCGTGCCATCGGGCAGATGCACAAATATATTTCCCCGCGAGAACTGCACTGTGGCTGGGTGGCCATTAATGCTGACTGATTTGCGAGTCTCCACACTGTCCGCCTGCGGACGGAAGGTGTACGGCTTGTCCCCCTCCAACAGCCGAATGACGCCGTGTTCCACGAGGATTGTGTGTCCATTGTAGCTGATTTTGTTGCTATCTCCCGTGCCGTGGATTAAGGTGTGGCCATTGTCCATGATGGTTGTGGCAGAGGAGGCGAATTTCTGGCCATCGCCTTGGATAAAACTCAGATTGTCGTCGTACAGCGAGGTGTCCTCCTGGAAGTCCAGCAACTGAGGTGCAGCTAAAAGGCAGAAAGATATTACTTGAAGGATCAAGTTCATGGAAGGGTAAATCTCTTACCGCTAGCCAGGCAGGCGCTGCTCACAGACAACCCCAATATAATCCAAGTTCCAGCTAGAACCATTTTGCAGCGACTATTTTTATGGCAAGTCGAGTTGCAGCTATTTATAGCTCCATTCGGGTAGAGCAAAGCGTGGCAAATGGCTTGAGCTTTTGATGGCAGTCTGAGAGTGTCTGAAAGTGTCTTCCTACATTGTCGCAACACTTAAGGCAGCTTGGAAATAAATTATAACTTAATTAGTGACGAATTTGCATGGTTTTTGTAGACATTCTGAGTGCTCTGGAACTTCTACAGTTAAGGGATCAAGTTTTAGAGAAAACATTTAGGATAAAAGTTTCATCTGTGATCCTCTTGATCAGTCTTCTTCCCTGCCAACTAATCACTCATTTCTGATGACATTTCAACGAAATTTTGCACAAAATATCCATCAAGCATTAGACACATCTTTAGCTAGAATCGAACCTCTTAATCCCACAGCTGCCTCATTGAAAATCGTTGCAAAAACACACTCTCAGCAATCAGCGAAAACTCAAATTTGTGCAATAAAGTTATAGATTTATTTTGAATCCGAACTTCATCACGGGGTTTTTTTGTTGTATTGCAGCACTATTTTAATGCCAAAATTCGTTCTCTAGAAGCGTATATTGCCCAGAGTCCTCTGCAGCTCCTCGTTCAGATTCTGCATCATTCTGTTGACATCCGCCTGCACTTGCTGTTGGATTTGCTGGGCTTGCTGAAGCGCCTCCGCTTGCAGCTTGTCGCGGTTCTCAAAGGACTGGCGATCACCAATGAAGGAGCTATCGCCGACCTTGGCAATGACCGTTTGATCGGCCAGCTCGACAATGACATCCCCGTTGGAGTACTGCACCGTTGCCGGCTTGCCATTGATGTCGATCGTTTCGCGCTTCTCCACACCCGCAGGTTTTGCCTCGAAACGGTACTGTTTGCCGCCCTCCGTCAGCGTGATGACGCCATTGACCACAGTCACCGAGTGGCCATTGTGGGTGCTGTAGTTGATGTTGCCGGTGGCGTACTGATGGGTTCTGCCATTGCTCGTGATGATGCTGGACTGACCGCCATTGATGATGACGTTGTTGCCGCTGGTTCCATCATCCAAGGAGACATCCTCGTCGGAGCCGGAGGCATCGGCCACTATCTGACGGCCATCGGAACCAATCAGAATGGTCTTGCCATTGGGTCCCTTTATGATTTGTCCCGCGCCATTGGAGAGGTAAGTGCTGCCCGCGCTGTGGATAAGCTTTTGCTCCTCGGCATCCCCTCCTTGGGGCATGGCTGGTAGGCAGAGAGAGAGAGAGAGAGAGAGAGTGATCATTAGTGGGTGTGGCAGGGTGTGGGTATTACTCAAGTGACTTACCGCTAGCCAAGCAGGCGACGCTGCCAATTAGCCTCAATATCAAACAAGTTCTACCCAAGCCCATTTTGCAGTGACTATTTCAATGGCAAGTCGAGTGCCAGCTATTTATACATCGACAAACGCCGGCGTCGCCTCTGTTTACTCGATTCGCGCAACTACACTGCACTGGGCCATGGGGTATACTCTATAATATACATTCCCCTATATGGTTGGGTGGAAAAGATAGCACAGGGGTTGGGGCTGGGGTCACCGGGAATTGCCAGAGAACGCGGGCGATTATTTATTTGTTTTGCCATCGCGACTTGCGGTTGCCGGCGATCATCGATGCACCCGCCGCTCGTTGCCGCCTCCCATGAGTCACTCGCAGAGAGTCAAACAAAATTCTAGAATCTAGACTCTAGAGAATTTTTTCTTTCTTTACTTCTAGAGCTTCGATTATGTTTGGGATTATATTTTTCTTGCGAAAATTCCCAAGCCAGAAAGGTGGCAGTTTATCGCTCAATCTTTATGGATCTCGCTTATCAGTAATGGAATGACGTGGAAGCTTGTTCTTTGGTAAATCTATGAAGGCCAAGATCTTTCTTTTCTATTGTACCTCCCCGTTGAGCATACATGGAATTTGTTTTTTAATTAAGTTTAGTTCTTGGAAAATGTATAATAAATATTTGAAATGAATAATTCATTATTTTTCCCATTTAAAATGAAACTTAATTGGTTTCCTCGCTCAGTAACGCCACTGGCGCAGACTTTGGCCATAATTGGACTTGCCATTGCCATTCGCGTGGAGTATTATATTGCGGGGATCCTCCTCAGGGCCGCCATTCCACGAAGGTCCGCCGCTGGAGCCGCGATGATTCGAGGAGGGTCCACCCCAGGGCAGGCCATGCACTGCCAAAGAAAGTGTTATAGAAAGAGCCAAGATCGTTAAGGTTCATTGAACTTACCGCTGCTGAGCAAAGCAAAGCTGAAGAGCGACAGCAGCAGCAACAAAATGTGCAGACGATGGTGGCACATGGTCAGTGGTCAGTGGTCAGTCAGAGGCGAAGAGTTCAAAATGATTGAGCTTCAAAATATAAAAGCGCGGATTATATACAGCTACAAGAAACGCAATTCTCTTCTCTCTATCTCTCGCTCTCTTCCTCGCCCTCGCTCTTGCTCCGACTGGCATCTCTTCGATTTGTCTGTCATTTCTCGCTTCGCTCTGTCTGAATGGATACGCGCAAGCAGAGTTTAGGTAGAAGGTGACGCAGTGAAATCTCTTTCGGTGACCAATCTCCATCCGTGGCGCGTGGTGAATAAGTTATTGTTCACCTTACAACTAAATACACCTTGGGATACGCTACGTGCGGGTGGTGTGCGGTGTGTCTCTGTTTTCTGGCGTTGTCGGCTTATGCATAATGCAACTTGCTCTGTTCCCCTCTCCTCCCTTGCACTATCATACTCTTTCCCACCTGTACTCTATTTATAGTCGGGCAATTAAGAAGTTTCGCCATGTGGCCTGCCTGGCTGACTGACTCTGGCTACGTTTCTAATTATTTTCAATTGAATTGCTTTGCTATACGCAAAAGTTTTTCTATTGCTTTTTACCCATTAAACATATCGTTCTAGCTCGATAGCCGAGGCGCCTCCAACGACGACAATGAGTGGGTGGGTGGCAGATTGAGATTGAGAAAATTCTCAGCTCTCCCACTCTTCCTCTCTCTCTGTGTCTCTCGCTGTGTGGTAAGTTTCACAATAAAAATTAAACAGGTATTGCGCTGTTTGTTAATGACAGACGTGCATTGTTTTTGTTGGCTCTTGTCTCTCCACTCACAGTTCTTAGAGTGTGGAGGGGTAACGGATGTGCGGCTTTGTGTGTGTGTGTGTGTGCTGGGCAGCAGTTTATTCAACTCCCGTTTTTGCTAGATAACACTAGTGAAATAAAGCAATTGTGAAAATACGAGAGAGCGAGAGCGAGAGCGAAAGCTAAAACTAAAGTGGATATAAAATGCAATGGCTGAAAGTTGGTCCGCTGAGACAGGGCTGGGGGAGAGGTGTGGTGTTATGTGGTGCGTGGGGGGGTAATGTATGTAAATGATTGCATTGCATTAACTCTTTACATGATTACCTACTCGTTTGCAATTGTTTGTAGTCTCGTTGCCAGTTCATTACTCTTTTGTAGGGTAACTGTTCGGGTTACTATGATAATATTATTTATTAATTGCATATTTCTGCTCTCATTTGATGGTGTGGCATTAACTTATTTCATTTATGAGATTTATTCCACTCTCTCTCTCTGCTCATTTTCACTCAACTCTCTTTCTGCTTCTTGGTTACCTTCCTCTTTATGTTTACTTCCCACAAAGTAAATATATTTTCACCTTAAGCAGGTCATTTTATTGATGATTCATTCATTTTCTCACCTCACCGCTTTTTATCCCCCAATCTGGCCCATGTATCCATGTCAAAGTATGTGCTTGTTCCGTAATGCAATGAAATATGCACATAGTTTCCAAATAAACGACTTTGACGCTGAAATTCTGTTTGGAGTCGTAGCAGAGCAGACTAGAGCATAACCTGGTCTGTACATTGCGGGGTTTATGGGTAATATCTTTGGACGTGTCTGTGGCCGCAGCTTCGTTTTATTGTTGCCTTTGCTGTGCGAATCGAATCGAATCGAATCAATTTGATTTTCCAATCAATTAAACTTTATATAAATTGCGTCTACGGATGCAATGCTAAATATAACAACAACAACAAGAATTGCAGCAGACAAAGCGCAAAGCACTGTTAGAATTTACTAGCATGAGAGGAATTTGCTCTCTGTCGCGTACGCGCGCTCTTTCACTCACGCTGCCTCACTACTACACACAGCTCTCGCTCTGCCTCTCTTTGTGCGTCGTCTGCCATGCTCTGTTTTTGCAATGTCTCTATCAGCGGATGAGTGCACAAGCACAAACAAAATGGCAAAAGAGAGGGAGTGAGTGGAAAAACGTAAACCAAACACTGACGCTTTTGGATACTCTCACACAGCGGTCGTGTATGTGGAAGGTTTTATTACTTTGAGCTAGACCTTAGAGTGAAAAGAGATTATGAGATTAATAATGCAGTTCCAATTGAAACAAACAAAAACACGCCTGACTCTCCTCCCTCTGACTTGCAAACAACTGCGCTCGGTCGTCATACTCTTTGTTAGTGTATAGGTAGGTCTGTTAAATGGCTGATCAGCGGAGGGCAGCGCTGAGGAAGAATGATGGAGTAGGTAGCTGAATGGCATGGTGCGGGAGGTGGGGTGCGCTCTCGCTGGCTGGTTACAGCGGGGGCACTGCATAGTGCACGACTTTGACTGCACTTTCGCATTTGGAAAATGTTTTGTGTGATTTTAGAATGCAGACTGCAGATGACTTGCGTCGTGAGCCATTGTTGCCTGTCGCTGGTGGAGAACATGGAAAGTGCATTTGATCAGTTGAGAGAATGGCAAGAAAGTCGAATCTAAGAGCGCCTGCCATCGACTCTCTCTCGGACCGAACGTCACAAAGGCGGCCAAGCAACGGCAAATCAAAGCAAAGACAAAGGCAAAGGCAAAGGCAGGTGGCCTTAATAAAGACAATTAGCCTAATAAGCAAACAACAACTTGAGGCAGCAGCAGAGGCAGCGCCAGTGCGCCATTAATTCAATTATCCAGGTGAGCTGCACAGTGTACACTCGCCACTCCACTCCACTGCACTGTAGCCCCTCCACTACTCCACTCCGCCACTTACGCTCTGCACGGTACAGACATTATCCTGCTAGAGGATTCATTAATGCTAATTGAGTACTCAGCACCCGAAACCCCACCCACTCAATGGAGCTACACAGCAAGGAAAAGCGTGGACATTGTTATCAAGAGGAGTGTGTATCAATAAAATAGGAAAACTCTCCGGAAAAACCCTAGCAACATATGCAAGAAATGTTCATAAAATATTATAAATTGTTCTCAGTGTAAATGTGGAGCATTTGACATAGGAACATGAGGTGCAAACATTTTGGATTGCATTAAATGCATTTTGAGCTATACACAAATTTATGTACTTATCACTTCCTGCGGATAATTGGATAGAAACACGATTAATATGTTCAATCAATCTTGCGAAATTAGAGGAAATTAAAGCTACTTCAATTGCCTTATGCATAAAATGAACATAATCTGTGGGCTATCAAAAGATGTAGTGGTCCTGCGGTACTCGGTTGAGCTTTGGTGGTTTTCTGTCAGGAACGACCACAATCCTAAACAGAAGTCCGCATTCTTTCCTTTTGCAGTATTCCTTTATGCGAAAACTCTATCAAACCTTAAGATGAAGTGATTTTCGATTAACTTCAGAGTTCGAAGCGTAAGGCCACACCCACGACCCCTCGACCCAACCTTCCGCAACACCAACACAAACATCGACAACAGCCTGACAAAGTTCTACAATTATTCTCAATTTCTCGCAATTTCTTGCCATTTTTTACACCGTTCAGACATTCTGCACTTGGACTAATTTCAAAGAGCCATATATCAGCGGCAGCCAAGAGCGCACAAGAGAGCGTGAGGCATCAGCAGCAGCAGCAGCAGCAGCAGCAGGGGTGTGGCAAGACACCTGTAGACGGGTACCCCTTTTGCCACGGGTGGCGTGTGACAAATGTGCGTCAAGTTGCTGGCAACTTATTTTCCGCCCCCTCACACTTTGAAGCTGCAGCGAAGTTGGGGCAAAAATATTTAACTTTCTGGCAGCGGAATCTTTTATAATTAATTTCCAACTCGGTGGGTAGATATTCGTTCCCTTTCAAAAACGCGTTCAGGCTTCATATTTTAGACATTAGAGAGAGAAAGAGAGAGACTGCTGCTGCTGCTGCTGCTGGCCCGTCCATGGGGTTCTTCGGATAGTTGCCATCAGCCGGAACGTGTCCCGGGCACGTATTTATATTCATGGCAAAAGTTACACTCACTTTTTGGTTATTTTGTTGGCAATTTATGGGCGGGAGGCTTTGCCTGGCTTTCCCCTCAAAAGTTTACTCTGTCAAGCTTAAAGCTTAAGTCCAGCGGAGCCCGATCGAAAAAGCTTCGTGGGAGCTTTTCGTTCAAGTATTTCTGATAAGGGGTTCAGTTCATCTCATCGATGACTTGTTTTGATTTATTTTGTTTTGGTTTTTTCTGTCCCATCAGTCGCGTATTTTTAGAGCTCAAGATGGGATCGATTTTCGCTGTTGTGCTGCTGCTGCTGGCTGTGGCCTCGACTCTGGCCAACCCCACATACTATAGAGATGGCTACCAATCCGCAAATAGTTTGATTAGTGGCACCAAAACAGGCGGTCCATTTCACACAAATAATCTCGATGCTGGACTCATTTCGGGTGGCGCAAGTGGCGGACCCTTCCAGAACCCACAGGAGGATGACGGCCTGATAACTGGCATCCACTCGGGCGGACCTTTTGTTAGAAAGAGCCAAAACTCGGGACCCATCAGTGGAACACATGGATTAGCAGGAGGCCCGTTTGGCCATACGGAAAGCCCCTTTGGTGGTTCAGCGGGTGGCGGTGGCTTGTACAATGGATTGAACACAGGAGGGCCATATAGAGATCATTATTATCTTAATTAAACGAAAAAATGTATAAGAAAAACATAAATTACTTTGACTATTAAGAGCAGAGATTGTAATCTTACTTTTGCTACTTTCTAGTAGCTTTAAACTTTAATCTGTACAAGATTCAAAGCAAATAGTGCTAAGAGATTAAAAGTTTGACGCCTTTTCATTGCTCAAAACTGATCTGTATTAAAATGAAATGTCAAAGAAATGTACCTCCATTTAATGCATCATATTTCCCAAGCACTTTGTTGCAAGTTCCCCATCGATTGCCGTGCAACTCCTTTTATTATATCAATTAAGTTCCAGTGCACCTCGTAAAAGTGTGCCGGTTTATTGGCTCCATTTATTTCTGGCATTAATGGCGTATAAACTTTATTTACTAATTCTCTTTTCCGTAGTTTTATCCATGGCTTAGAAATGTACAAATGGCCATCAAAAATTGTATTCCAAGTGTTATTGGGGTTGGCATGCCCGTAAAAGTGGCAAATTTAAATATTTCTTTATTGCAACAAGCAGCAAAAGTTTAAGCTGCACATAAAAATATATTTATACGGTATATGGGGTGGGGCAGGTGGATGTCCAATTTTTTTTTTGCAACAGTTTTCTCAGTGCCTTATAAAGTTGTCGTGGCAAGTCAGTTTTGCGCCTGCCACGTGAAAAATTGTGGGTGTGGCATGGGGCAAGTGCCAAAACTGAAAACTGCCACAAACTTGCCGTAAGCTAGAATTCTGCTGCGGTACGAAATGAGAAAATGAGAGAGACAGCGGCACCGGCAGCCTCGCAAATGTTGCTGACAGCGTCAGTTGCGTTTGCTGTCTCCATTCCACAGATTTCACAGATGCAATACATATGTACATCTGCATGTACATACATACATATACATATATGATGCATATACTCATGCTCCTATGTTTGTATGTATGAGATGTGCATTGCCTGATAAACTGCAGCGTTGGAGGCACTTTTTTGTTTGCCATAAATAAGTCTTAAATTCCAGTAAATTAGTACTTACTAACAAATGGCCTGCTCTCTTCCAGAGGTTCTGTTTTATCTCGAGCTTCGGGCGCTGAGAGCGGTCAGCGGCACAGGGTCAAGCGCAAGGCGATGGCAGAGATCTAACACAAAACAGGCCCTCTTCCTCTTACTCCCACACAATGGCAGACATCCAGAGTCCATACCAACAACAAGAAGATATTTCCATTGCAAATGCAAAGACGCTCTTAGAACCTCTCAGCAATGGCGCGCTCTTAACTTTTTCCCCACGCTTCAGTGTACTGCCACAGGTGTGAAGGGTGGATCCACTGTCCATCCGTCTCCCTCTGCCCAGTATTGAACATAAGCCATAGCAATTACATATACGCAGCCATTGCAGTGGTCAAAGCGCTCTCAGAACCTTTCACAAATGACTTCTGGTGCGAAGAGAGCGCTAAGTGAAATTTAAGTTACTGGCGCAGACGCATGGTTTTCGGGTCGCGGAGGTAAAATTGCGTAAAACAATACGGAAATGTTCGGATAAATGAAAATAAATTATATAAAAAGCCGTGTGAGAAGTATAGCAAGTGTTTATAAAGAATATATGGCGAAAAAATGTGAAAACATTTTGTGAAATGTCGAAAAGTGGCGTACAAGGCTGGAAAATATAAGACCATGCGAGTGGAGAGACAACGCAAGCCACAGCAACTACAAATAATGTTTTAAATGCGTTTTATATGTGAAAATATTACCGACAATTTTCAATGGCGTCGCAGTTTTATCGCCACCTCCCGCGCTCATACACAGTTATTGGAATTAGAGTAGAAAGAAGACGAAGTAACATAACGGTGCCATGGCGTGATGTTCTTTTCAGCTAGTTTTTTTTTTTGGGTTGCCTTTTGCGTTTGCCTTCTTTCTGCGAGAGCGCATGCAAAACGATATGGCAAAGGGTGCCCCGCTCCTCTTAGATGGTCTCAACAACTGGCTCTTAATTTGTCGACCCCGCTTCTGGTCATTGCACTATGCAGACACCATGCAGAAGAAAGCCAAAAATGTTCAACTGAAGTGTCTTATCTGTGTTGATGGATCTCCTCCTCGCTTTTATCATCTTCCTCTGCCCTTCTACACACACACAGAAACGCAAAGCCGCTCTTAAATGCTCTCACCCATGGCAGTTCGTTCATCTCCAAATTACTTTGAGTGGGAAGAGATCGCTAAGTCAAATTTAAACTCCCAGCGCAGACGCATGCCTTTTTTCGCTAGGCAAAAAGGCCAGAAAAGTATTGCAAAATGTTCGGAAAAGTATAAAAAACCCCGTGTGATAAGTTGAAAAGTTGTCGAAAATCTCGGAGATGCAAAGCCACAATTGAGTGGAAATTAAAGGAAAATAACGGCGCTTGGCTGTAACTCATCTTGAGTTTCGTGTTTTTTTTTATGTGAGAGTGAGCGTAGGTGCATTAAAAGAGGCCGAAAAGTGAGTGAATGTTCGTAAGAGTGGGTGAGAAGTAAAAAAAGATGAGAGCCCCGCAAGATTAAAGAAAGAGTGCAAGTGTTAGTGTCGATGGTCAATATGATGGCAAGGAGAGCCAGGCGGTTACGGCAAAAGTGAGTGAAATTTAAGAGTGAGTGAGAAGTAAAAACAGTTAAATGCCCCGCAAAACTAAAGAAAGAGCGGAAATCTCACTCAGTGTAAAGTGCAAGTGTAAGTGTCGATGGTCAATATGATGGCAAGGAGAGCCAGGCGGTTACGGCAAAAGTGAGTGCAGTGTAAGAGTGAGTTAGAAGTAAAAACAGTTAAATGCCCTGCAAAACTAAAGAAAGAGCGGAAATCTCACTCAGTGTAAAGTGCAAGTGTAAGTGTCGATGGTCAATATGATGGCAAGGAGAGCCAGGCGGTTACGGCAAAAGTGAGTGCAGTGTAAGAGTGAGTTAGAAGCAAAGAAAGTTAAATGCCCCGCAAAACTAAAGAAAGAGCGGAAAAAATCTCACTCAGTGTTAAGTGCAAGTGTAAGTGTCGATGGTCATTATGACGGCAAGGAGAGCCAGGCGGTTACGGCAAAAGTGAGTGCAGTGTAAGAGTGAGTGAGAAGCAAAGACAGTTAAATGCTCCGCAAAACTAAAGAAATAGCGGAAAAAAAATCTCACTCAGTGTTAAGTGCAAGTGTAAGTGTCGATGGTCAATATGATGGCAAGGAGAGCCAGGCGGTTACGGCAAAAGTGAGTGCAGTGTAAGAGTGAGTGAGAAGCAAAGACAGTTAAATGCTCCGCAAAACTAAAGAAAGAGCGGAAAAAAAATCTCACTCAGTGTTAAGTGCAAGTGTAAGTGTCGATGGTCATTATGACGGCAAGGAGAGCCAGGCGGTTACGGCAAAAGTGAGTGCAGTGTACGAGTGAGTGAGAAGCAAAGAAAGTTAAATGCCCCGCAAAACTAAAGAAAGAGCGGAAATCTCACTCAGTGTTAAGTGCAAGTGTAAGTGTCGATGGTCAATATGATGGCAAGGAGAGCCAGGCGGTTACGGCAAAAGTGAGTGCAGTGTAAGAGTGAGTGAGAAGCAAAGACAGTTAAATGCTCCGCAAAACTAAAGAAAGAGCGGAAAAAAAATCTCACTCAGTGTTAAGTGTAAGTGTCGATGGTCATTATGACGGCAAGGAGAGCCAGGCGGTTACGGCAAAAGTGAGTTAAATTTAAGAGTGAGTGAGAAGAAAAGACAGTTAAATGCCCCGCAAAACTAAAGAAAGAGCGGAAAAAAACTCACTCAGTGTTAAGTGCAAGTGTAAGTGTCGATGGTCAATATGATGGCAAGGAGAGCCAGGCGGTTACGGCAAAAGTGAGTGCAGTGTAAGAGTGAGTGAGAAGCAAAGACAGTTAAATGCTCCGCAAAACTAAAGAAATAGCGGAAAAAAAATCTCACTCAGTGTTAAGTGCAAGTGTAAGTGTCGATGGTCAATATGATGGCAAGGAGTGCCAGGCGGATACGGCAAAAGTGAGTGAAAGTTTATACGAAAACTATAAACAGTAGAATAAACCGCAAAAACTGTTGAAAGAGCGGAAAACAGCACAATGCTGTCCAAAAGAACTGAAAAGCAAAAGAGATTTGTGTTGAATGGAAGGTGAGTCTACACAAAACTTTGTATATTATTTGAACATCATACTCCATATATTCCGAGTCATTTGAGCTTACATACTATTTTATTTATTATTTTATATTTTCTTATCATACATTGTCATATGAGTGTTTCAAAAGGGCTCTAAATCTATCGAATTTCAAGTCGATTACACCCCCCACATAAGCTGCCAATCTTCCCCCTCAACCCACAGGAAAAACTTCCCAACAAGCAGTGGTGTTGTTCCAAAAACTTTTACTAGTCTATCTGGTCTTTGTGTTGTGGTCTCTAGAGAAAGTAAGATGGGCCAAGAGTAACCCTTTGTGCAGCTTATAGGAGGAAGTACCGCTGCGATACGATACGCATCTTTGCGAATAGTTTCCTTCACGCTGTTTGTGTTTTGGTGGCACTTTTTTTCGCTTTTGGGTCACACAGGTCTAGCGGGTTGAGTGAAGGGTGCCGTGCAGAGGGAAGTTGCGATTTCGAAATGATTTATACGATCCGGATACTTGCGTTCCATATCTGTGACAAAGTGCTTCTTTGATTTATGGCCATTTTGGGATGAAAACGGGTTGAAAATAAAACAATGCAACGGGTTAAAGGAGCGCCAGTGACATCCAACCAACAGAATCCACCATCCATGTATAGACATAGGGGAATGGATATTGATATATTCTTGTGCTGAGTGCAAATCAATTTTCTCAGAGAGGTGTCTCATCACTAGCAGCAGCAGCTCAAGGCGCTTCATCTATCACTGAAATCAAATCCCAGTAGTAAAATAAAATCTATTTACGCTTTCATTTTTATATAATTTATGCCACATAAATATTGATCGTTGGCTGGCCGTTGACTACAATCGGCTGATGGCCTCCGGCTTTGCCCCGTGCATCGATGCGCTGCGTGCTCCCTCCTCCTCCTGCTCCGACCACATGCCGCTGGTTGTAGTTGTGATAGTCGACGCCATGGTAGCGCGCAGTTGTCCAGTAGTAGAGCACATCACCGGGCTGCAGTTTGTGGTTGCGATTGCGGTAAGTCCAGCGTCCGTTGCGGGCGCTGAGAATGTCGGCGGCCCAGGTCTGATCCGAGAGATCGTCCATTTCCTCGTTGACCTTGCCGTGGAAGGCAAAGAGGGAGATGCCCGGCTCGTCCGGTATGGATACCTCGAAGCCATTGGGCGAATTGACCTTGACGGAGGCCTTGGGCACATTGTACGCCCCACTGCCCCCCAGCCATAGGGCAACGATGATGAGTAGAAGCTGCATCTCTATTCCCATCGACATGATGCTGATAACTGGATTCCAGCGAGCGCTGAGATGCGATTTTTGTACGTAGACAGCCAGCTCACAGCTTATCTCGTTCTCGTTTCGGGTTTTCCATCGAGCAAAAGCTGTGTACTTCCCGTCGGTAGTGCATTCCCCCCCCCTCGTCGCACCAAAACACACACAAAGAGAGAGCAGAGAGATACACACACTTACGAGAAGATACTTTCGTGTGTGCCCCAAAGTATGCGATACAAATATTTGCACTGCAATATTTCTTCGTCTCTCCCTGGTAGCTCCACTCGACTGCGGTTGGCCTGTGCAAGTGCTGAGGTCCTTTGTGCGATAATATGGTGTCTCTCTCCACAAGAATCTATGCGGCTGTACTCCATTCTGTTCTGCTGGCAGTCCCGGGCCAACGACCACAGCATTTTCAGCTACAAATATGCACTCGGCATCCCTGTGGCATGCGTCGCATGAGGCAGACACTTAAATAACTGTTAAATGATCTTCACTTCAAGAAGTTGTAAGCAGAAAATACCCGAAATCCAGCTCTATCTAGCTACAATTATTTTTTTGTATCCAATTTCTGCTTGTTAATTCTCCACTGACCGCACGGGGAATCAGGCCACCACCCCCTTCCCACTGCCCACTAACCAGCTGCTAGTTAATTCGTAATTGCTATGCCATTTGTCAGGCTGAAAACCTCTCCGTGGAGCCCGACAATTGTCCCCCAAAACAACATTAAAAGCTGGCAAAAGCACAATATCAACTTTTTCCCAGAGCACTGGCGGGGGGAGAAACACAAGCAAAGTCAAACCACAGCAAACCGAAACTAAATAGCTGGACATTTATACGAGCCATCCATCTATTCGGGATTCCACGCTCAATCTATTCATTCAGTCATTTGGTCATTTGGTCATGCATTCACTCATCCAACCATCCATCCATCTATCCATCTATCCCAGCCATTGCTCTATGCGGGTTCATCTATTCAACGGCCAACGCCAAAACCCCCAGCCGCCAGCTCTCCCATTCCATTGCCGAATTGTTTTGGAGGCACTGTTTTCTCTGCCTCTGATTTATAAGCTTCATGCCGCTGACCACTTGATTGCGTAGTGTCTCCCTCTCGCTTCCACTCTCTATCTCTATCTCTATCTCTATATCTATCTCTATCGCTCATGTGTGTGTGTTTGTGTGTAATTTATTTACGTTAACACGAGCGCACTGGCCCAAGAGCACCTAAAACTACAACCATCCGACAGAGCCAGGCTCAAAAGAAGAGCTTTTCCCCACTTTCATTTATTTTAAATGGCATAGAAAATTGCAAACTGACATTTCTGTACCAAGTGTACCCAAGTGTCCTGCCCGTCCAGCGCATCCTCTATCTGGGATGGGTCTATGTGTGGCATGTGCACACAGCCGGAAATTCATTCGGGATATGTCGCACGAGTACGAGGGCAGAACGGGGTGCGGTTTGTGTGGGGTGTACGAGTGTACGAGTACGGTCTACTGATTACCATGAAATTACATTGTTTCGCACTTAAAAACGTGTTGGTCAGTGTACACTTTTCGGGCCCGAACTTTGACTCGGCTTTCCCCTTTCGGTTAATTAAGTGGCTGTACGAATTTGTACGTAATACCCTCAACAGAAAACCTTAACGTAGAGAGTCAAATAAGTCCCGACAAGCTCTAAGATATTCGGCAGAGAAAATGCATAAATGCTGGAACAATTGTGCAGGAATACACTTTGAGGGATAAAAAACAAATCAGAACGATGGAAAATATGAAAATAATAACAACAAAATAAATTCGAAATCAAAGATAATGCCATAGAACCAATGGATGCTTAAGGGTATTCCATCTCTCAGTGTGCCCGTAAACTCTTTCTCTTTATCGTGTGATGTGTGCCCCACACACACACACACACACACACACACACACACACATGCACTTGCACGTGCCACTCGTATCTGCCTGCCTCACAGCCGAATTTAATTGCTTGCGATTATTGTTAATTGATTTTATTTATTTGGCAGATAGGGGAGATTGGCTGTGGGTATGGCTGGGGGCTTGCCTGCTGGCATGGGGCATTAGCCAGGTGGCCACGCCCCAGCTCCTGTTTTGTATTTTTTGGGCCTGGTTTAATTTGTTTGGAATTTGCCTAAATTGAATGGGAATTGATTTTCAATTAAATTGTATTTTTTGATGCATGCCACACGCGTTGCATCGCTACAATAAGAGTAATGCTGCATGCCACTGATGCCTGGAATCGCCGCCTTATTTTTGGCCATTCAGCATAATCCAATCAATGGCTTGAATTTGTTGCAACATGCAACATTCTCTTCTGTCTCTTTTGTTGTTTTTGAATTATTTGATTTTCTGTGTAATTCGTTTGGCCATGGATTTTGTGGGTATTTTTTTACCTGTTAACTGTTAAATGCAGGTAAATAATGCAATAAAAAGCCATTTAAAAAATGTACATTTTAAATCGATTTAGCTGCGGTTTTTTCTCCAGCACAAATTGAAAGAATTTATTTTGGGGCAAAGAAAAATCAAAGCGAAAGTGTTTTTAAGTCAGAAATGTGGCCTACAGCCATGGGGCCACACCTTAAATGTGAACTAAAGTTGCACTTCAAGGCACTTAAGCCTGCATATTGCATGGAAATCGCTTCAATTGTGCTTGAAATTGTTAAATGAATGCATTAAAATTGTAGATAAATTCTACTCCATGAAATGTCGATGAGTTTTGACGCACATTTTGAAGCAGCTAGAAAATTAATATTACGGAGTATTCAAATGGAACTTTAATTGTGTAAATTATATAATGATAATCTCTCTCTCTCTCTCTTTTGGCATTTACATTGATAACATAATTATTTGATACACAGTATCATTACGCACAGCCTGCTACCCTAGGAGGTGAAAAGGGGGGGGGGGTGTGGCTGTGACTGGGTGTGAGGGTGTGGTGGGTGAGTGCGAGTGTGGATATCCTGCAGACAGCGTCTTTGCGTATCCATCTCCATTTCGCTATAATCAATTTTACTTTGGCGCTGAAAATGCAAACACGCTAGACAGACTGCCACACACAGACCTCAAGGATGGGCTGGGGAAGAAGTAGAGTAAGCAATAAGCCAAGCCAAGCCAAGATCTATTCAAGCATAGGTACTCCTGTCATGGCTTACACACACACACACACACAGAGAGAGAGAGAGTCTCGTTCGTATATTGGAACCGCAACCATTTCGCATGTAGCGATATCCTTTGCAGCACACACACATACAGTCCTTGGTTGCTTCTTCTTTGGCAGCGCACATATTTAAAGAGCAAACGTTTATCTAAGTTGTACCGTTGCGGTTTCCGTTGACATTCAAATGCGGAAGCACCTGTCGCCCCAGCCACAGAGCCTCAGAGACGGAGGCGAGAATGGCGACTGAACGATGTTCAAGGCAGGATGGGAGGCCGGGAAGGCCGGGGAGGCAGGCAGTCAGCAGTCGGCATTCACTTCCGATTTCACACGCACACGAGCAGGGGCCAGTGAATGTTGGCTGGCATGTGGAATGTTGTCAGTAGAGGGCTGACTGTGCCTCCTGTCGCATGGGGAGAGAACCACTCAAGCGAACTCCTGGAGTACCTCGCCTTCCCCCAACCCACACACACCACGCTGGTGCGTGTCCTCCGGCAGGAGGTGGTGCGGCAGGAGGTGGTGCGGCAGGAGGCATGGAACATGACAAGTTTCTCTTGGAATCGTTTCGCTTGCCACGCACTGCCAACGCCTGCTACGACGACGACGACGACGACGACTCCTTTCATAAAGGCAGAGAACTTGCATGGGGTGCGGGTTGTGCGGGGGGTGGTGGGATGGCACTTGAAGGACTTTGCCACTTTGTAGTTACACTTTTGAATTTTCAAGCAGCGACAACGATGACAACGACGCTGCCACTCGTCAGTCCTTAAATGGTTTCGCTTACACCTCGAACATGCCATTGAACAAATTAATTACTTGACAACTTTACAAGCATTCTGCTGTGCACCCTCCACTCCACTCCACACCACACCACACTTCCTCCCTGCCACCCAGTTCCAGTTCTCAGGAGCAGCAGGAGCTGGTAAAGGAGTCTGCGGATCAGCCCGCAGAATTGTGGTTCCTTTCTGTTTAAGCGGCTGCTCATTAGAATCCCACTACAAGTGCCACTACGCAGCAGCAGCCAACCAACCCAGCCCGAAATCAAACGTAGCAGTCCCCCAAAAGAGGTTGGGAGGGGCAGGCAGAGGCATACGCATCCTGATTCCTCATGATTTCTGAGCTCTCATTAATAACGTGGCTGTGCTGCTGGCTCCTCCTGATGCGTTTTCTGCCCACTGGCTGTATTTGTGTGCATTGTGAGTTATGTGTGTGTGTCGGCCATTGTCCAACAAAGTAGCTAAACGGCCAGAGCAGTACGACATAGCGATGGCAATGGCCCAATGGTAGATAGAGAACGCGATGGCTTATGCTGAAAGGAAGCTAACATTTTGAGATAAATTAGAGATAGTTCGAGTGATATTCGAGATGATATTCGAATAAAAAAAAGATTCTTCTTGGAATATTCGGCAAAATAAACGACTTCAGCCTTGATTTCAGATGCATATTTCTAGATCCTTGGAACATTTATCCTCTGCGCTTCTTTTCAGCCACAAATTTCAGCACAAGTGGCGCACGCCACCATCTCTATCGGCACTACAATGGCCTCGACCAGCCACCATACGTTCTGGTTCTGGTCCTGGTTCTCGTTCTCATTCGCGTTCTGCTGCTGTTTCTTGGATGCGTTGCGGCCTGCACCGTTGCAAGCTGTGTCGAACCTTTTTGTTTTTGGCTGCGTTCCCGGGGCGCATAGGCGGAAATTGGAAACGCGTTGCTTTATGCACGAGAGCGCAGGGCGGGCAGATAGATAGGGGATAGAAAGTGCGCTTTGTGGCAAGAACTTGGTGGATGCCTCGGGGCGCTCATAAAGAGCGTAGGTATTCGAGGGCTCCTCTGCTCCGTGTGTGTGTGTGTGTG